ACTGGGTCTACAAATATCCATTTTCAATCAACATACATGACCAGTGTAGTCTGATTCAGAACAAATTACTTTTCTTCAGTTTGTTAATCAAAAACATACAGGGCAACCAGTAATTTCCCGTCCTTCTAATGAAAAGTTCAAAAAGATGAATTACCAGTTTGAATTGGTCTAATTGGCCCTATCATTTACAGCATAAGGAGAGTAAATTATAACTGAAATACACCCCAAAAAAAAACAGAATTAAATCAATAGCTTATGAATCAGCAATCAAATCGCATATGGAAATGTGTATTAATACCCCACCTTACTATTCAAAACTAAACAGAACTTACTAAAATTGAATGCATTATGCTTGCTGAGACAGTGGCAGATCCTCAAAGAGGTGCGCAAGAAGCAGATTTCTGTGCTAGAGGCGAATATAAAACAAAAGATTTCTGTTTTAGCAACCAACATAACACCTTTTAGCACCTGACAGCTCCATGGGCACAATTCTCCGACTTCAGTTTGTCCTGTATAGTCACAAGAAAGAGGAAGATATATGCGAAGTGATCAGGTTTAACGGATGTACAGTAATGCACATAAAAGCTCCACTAAATGAGAATGAAAGGCTGTACAGTGCAAAATGGGCTTTTCCTTTAGACTTATTAGTAAGGACAAGTCTGTCAGCACAACCAGGCTAAAGCTGGGACATCAGAGAGGAGAACAATGAGAAACCTGAGATTCCTCAGCGGGTGAGAGAACGAGAGCGATGCAGAGGGGGAGGAGGATAAAGTGAATAAGAGGGAAAAAACGCTGCATTCTTGTAACTCAAGAACTGTAAGAATGTGTGTGGAGCAGGTATTTATGGAAAGGTGATGGCAGATAGTTGCTCTGGAAATGGCGACAACAAAAGAGAAGAGCAGAGAGTAGCGAAAGAAGAAGAAAAAGAAGAAAAAAGAAAAACAACCGCAGGCAACGCTCAAGGTGTGATGGCACCAGCTCTGCGTACCACGTCGTCATGGCAACAAGCAGCGGGGAGAAATGGCGATGTTAACATTCATTCAGAGAGGCAGCACATATCCATCAATCTCTAGCGCATAAAGAGGCAACAGCACGTCTGTTAATGGTGTGAAGCGCTCCATTGTTCTGCTATAATTATGCCAAAAAGGACAGGAAAAGGGTGTTGCTCTTTTCTTCACAAAGGGGTCCCAACACAAACACAGATTCAAAAGAGAGGCTTCAGTTTATCTCAAGGTATAAAAGAAGAGCAAACCTGACAACACACACACACATACGTGCACGCACACGGGGCACCCCGTGCACCCTCTGAAAGAGACACCAAAGGCGGACGTTCCCGCTTATCACTTTGTTGAGATAATCTTTTCTAAACACAGCCCTGGGCTTGCAGATAAACTCCAAACACAACATTCAAGGTGAGCTCTCTCTCTTCCTTCACTTCTTCCTTGGAATTCCATTTTTTTCCATTCGGTCCGTTTGCTGCCACACTCTGTCAGCAGTGGCAGGATGACGGGGTGGAGGAGAACCGGAGGAGGTGGTGAGAGGAAAACAAGATGGCACAGCGGCGTGAAGGTTATGACTTTGAACGTGCGCTAGCTGGGGACCGGAGCGCACACACACCGACACGCAAAGACACAAATACACACACACAGAGTGCTCCAAGTGTTCATATTTGTTCCAGGTCCTTCTCTACTCTTGCTAAGTCAAACATCTACATGGCTTTTCATAGCGGGAGATACGCATCAACTGGTGAAGGTCAACACCTGAGAGGGCAAAAGGGAATCACCAGCATTTGGCCTAGCCAAACAAGGCTAAAACGAGTAGTCTGCATTATTTGACAGTAAACAATATGTTAATTTGTGTTTTTGTTGTTGAATAGTGATTGACCTTGTTATTGTTAACTAGTAGGGCTGTCAAAAAATTCGAATTTTGAATATTGATCAAATTTAAAATAAAAATCCACATTCGAATGCAAAAACGTTGCATTCGAATTTTAGGTGTGCGTTAAGGAGGCAGCCTTATCAGTGGCGCACGAGATGCGATGACGATGTAAGTGTCGTTGCATTATAATGTTTTTGTTAGCCTATCCAGTTGAAGCCACTAGATGCGGCGCTGCTGCGTTGTTCTTTAAAAATATTGCAGAAGATCTTGTTTACATCAAAACTGAAACCAAGCCATTCACACAGAACACATATTTCACGCATTTTCTAGAGGGACATCTATCACCGTTGCACTCGCATCTCGCACAAAGGAGCCGCATGTTTAAAAAGCCATGTAAAATTAATGCAAGTTTAACAAAAAAAAAAAAAAACATATATATCGAGTCTTTATGGCGGGGGTTTTTCCCCATCCCACTGCATCTCATGTTTTTAAATGAAAAATGTCACTCTGTGTGATTGGCTTTTTCACCCTTTGTATTAAACTATGCATACATACATGATGCTGTTTTGTTTATAGTAGTTTGAGCAACTTAATGAATTATAATTGGTTTATAAACATTATGCACTTTTTTCACAGATAGTCATGTTATCTTATGCTGAATAAACGTGCATTAGTAATATTTTGCTCTATGCGCCCTCTTGTGGCCTCAGAAGAGAAGCCAAAACTTTTCTTCACCCTAACTGAAATTATGCATTTTAAATTTGAATATAATTCGAATTTTTATCATATTTAAGTACAAAATTCTAATTTACTTTTTGAGCCATTTTGACAGCCCTATTAACTAGAAATAAAAAAAGAACAGAAAAAAGTTTTCATAAACAGAAATCTGAAATAAAATGAATATTAGATCAATTCAACTGTCTTGGCGGCTAGATAATATAAAAGAAGTACTAAAATAACAAAAAAGTTATAAAATAAAAAATGCCAAAGAGAATATAAATAAGAAAAATTCCAAATATATAACAAAAATATAAAAATAAAAGCTACTTCTATACTACTGTAATAAATAATACCAAAATTACATTTACAATGTTTTACTCAAAAGTACTTTCTGAAGTTAATCCTATTCCAATTTAGATTACTTTTGGATATAATTCAGCTTTTAGCCTGAATATGAAAGAAAATCTCTTAGCTATTGCCTTATACAAGGAAAGTTCATGCAAAAATATTAATAACTAAGCCCAAACTATGCGGTCCAATTTCTAAAAGATATAATTGACACAACCCAAAATTATGATATTGAAAAAAAGAGAGAGAGTACACTGGTAGTGGTGTATGTTTTTGATCTGTTAGGATGGAAACACTGTGAAGAAACAGTGTTCTTGGGTTTTTAAGAATATCAAGATGTTCTAATGAAAATGTGATCAATCATAACAACGGTGGAGCCAGTAGTGCACAACACAACGAAATTTGCACAACACAACGAAATTAGCACAACACAATGGAAACAAGCCACAACGCAACGAAATTAGTACGACACAACAGAAACCATCCACAACACAACAGAAACAAGTCGCAACACAACAGAAACAAGCTACAACACAACAAAATTAGCAAAGCACAACGGAAACAAGCCGCAGCACAACCAAATTAGCACAACACAATGGAAACAAGCCAAAAATCAATGAAATTAGCACAACGAAACACAATGAAAGTAGTCCAATGTGTTGTGGAGATTTTGTTGTGTTGTGGAGATTTTGTTGTGTTGTGCACTACTGGGCCACCGTACAATGCAGATTAATATTGGATCATTATATTAGCTGATTATCAAAATAATCAATAGCTACAGTCCTAATGCCAAATGAGAAGTCGCTAGATACAAATCGAATGTCTAAAGTCATGCTACATGATTTCTTATGACATAAGCCCTTAGCGCTTCGGTTCTGACACGACTGCGGCATTTAATTAAAAAAACAAATGCCCCAATGCCTCCTGCACTCATAAGTCACTGTGCCAATGCAGTGCTGGCATGTCATTGCAATCATTGCAACACAGTGACTCACTGAGGATCTGAGGTTATCAACTCCTAGTAAGTCAGCTGAGCTTAAGGTCAGAGGGACACACGGTATCTGTGCTGTCAGTGATCATGGTTTGAGTGGGTGGCCGTATATTTGCCGGCTTTGCAGGAAAACCGTGTCGCTCTCAACAGTAGCTGCAACTCGCAGCAGTGGCCAACAGCAGAGGATGAGTCACATCAAACAAAGCACTAAATCTGTCCAAAACACACGCGTTTGTGCACAAGGAGACGTGTGTCGCATCTCCGAGCTCTTGAGCCCTCAAACAAAGGATGAAAGAGATTAATTGCCCCCCGTCTCAGAACCGCGTACAGTATCCACATCATCTCTTCAAAAGGAGTAGAAACCGAGAAGAGAGACTCAATTGAGGGCTGATAATAATGTGTCACTATAACTGCAAATGCAGGGACAAGCTGAAACCTCTAGATACATCATAGTACGAAAGTAATGCGGAGATCTTAGTGGGAGATTGTCGAATGTCATATTGGCTTTGGGATCCGGCGATAGCTCTGGGTCTAGTGATAACTGTTTGAAATGGGTGTGAATGCACAGCACGCGCAGACTCGGAATCCCACCTGTTCAGAACTGTTTTGAGCGAGACGGTGAAGATGAGGTGTACAGAGACACGTGAAGCAGCCATGTGGTCTGAACAGGAGTGGAAAGGGGCTGAGAAACTCCACAGGGTGCATGGCACAAAGGAACTGTTCTCACCCTAATGAGCAGCCAGATCTCAACAACGCAAGCCTCCAGACTCTCAGACCTGTGCTACTCTCACATGGGACTGTATCAAACATTTTCCCTCACACTGGAGGGGTTTGAGTAACAAAGCTTCGGCCAAACACACAGCTTGTTGCTGAGGTTGAAGTGGGAGGCCTGTTCTGAGCGATTGGCACAAAAATCCCTTTCTGACTTCACAATCATGGTGTAATTACATCCACCTGCCTTTGTAATCTACTTTGGAAAAGGAAATCAAGAAGGAAGATGATTCAGACCAGAGAACCCTCTGAATGATGTATCTACAGAGAGGCCGCAGGCCTGAACTCTTACCGGAAAGCCTCCAGCACAGTCCTCTTCGGCAGACGAGGGGCAACTCGCTTGAAGGCGCTTTTGAAGTCATCCAGCTTCAAGAAGCCACGACCTGTAGAGAGCACAAAAATGTTAACAAGACTAATACTTTAAAACATCAAAAAAGTTGTTCACTGTGGGGCCGGGTATGTTATTAGAGCGCCACACTTGCAAGAGATCAAGCAAAGAGGATGAGATAAGCACAACTGAGAGCGCACTCTCATTAAAAAGTGGAGAGGAAAGGATAAAGGTGGGTAGATGAGAAGACAGAGGAGAGAGATGAGGAGTGAATACATGAGATAAGACGAGGAGAGGAGAGGAGAGGAGAGGAGAGGCAGAGGAGAGGAGAGGCAGAAGGGGAGGAGAGGAGAGGAGAGGAGAGGGAGAGGGGGGGGGGGGGGGTCACATCACAGTGGAGTCAGCTGTCTTAACCATGGCTTGTGTACTGGCCAATCAGAGCAGACTGCGCTTGTCGGAAGGAGGGACTTTGTAGAAAACAAAACATTTGAGAGAGGCGGGGCATATAGGACCTACAATAATGTACAGAATTTGAAAAATAATGTGTTTTTTGAACATTAAAGCATGTCAACATATTCTGTTACACCAAATACACAAAATAATGATCTTTAAAAAAGCATCATATGACCCCTTTAAGGAATAAAATCAGCTTTCTTTGCTCATTCCACCCACTAAAAAGCTGATGGATAAAGCCGAAAGTACACTTCCCTTGTCCGTGTTCCGCTCCGGCTCACAGATTATCTGCGTGATGTTATTTTTGTCATATTTACAGTCCGATGAGGTTCACACACACCGTCCACATACAGGCCAGATTTTGAGTCTGTGAGGACTTGTTAGCAGACAACAGTGTTGGACTAGGCAATATGACAAAAATAAAATCTTGTTTTCTTAAGTTTTGACCAATTCAAGATTTAGATTTTTTTATGTTTAACCGGTCAACTTAAAAATGTAACTGCAACATGATTCAAGTAACTTTCTCTTTGTTAACCATTTGGTTAAAAAAAGTTTTATTCCAAGTGCATCACACAAGAATTGGTTAAAATGGTGCAAATGTAAAACAAATGAATTGATAAATATATTTGAATAATAGATGAAATATATGAAGGCATATATTGTGCAAACGTGTTTTAAACATAATAATTTCACAAATAAGAAAAATACTAAATATTTCTTACGCAAAAAAGACATGCAGTTTTAGAGGTTAAAGGCCTGTTCACACCAAGAACAATAACTATAAAGATAACTATATTAGTGTCCACACCAGCAGACGATATCGTCTGTTTATTCTAATCGCATGCTCGTCTGCCGCTTTAAATTCTCAAGTTCATTATAGCAGGAATGATTCTGATTGGGTGTCATATTTTATCATTCATAAGCTGGAAAAAAATCATTCTAAAAGTGATTCCAATGATATTGTTTCTCTGTGCCTTTATCATTATAGCTGTGGTGTGGACTTTGCTATTCTGTAATATTGAGAACGATTTTTAGAACTATATTTTTATCGTTATCTTAATAGTTATCATCCTTGGTGTGAACAGGCCTTAACTCAAAAAGTCAAGACAATTCATATTCAAAATGAAATGTAAAAACAAAGACAATAACAGCCTTTTAGCCTGTCACCATCATGCAAACATGAAATATCAAACATACAGCAGTAGTTCTTTACAGATTTTAGCATTTTGCTGTGCTGCTTTTCCACTGTGTTTTCTATGTAAACATGCACTTGGTGGACATCCAAGACTATGGATATAAGTCTACATTTTTGTTTTCTCTTAACTGTAACCACTGGCGTATCATCAATGTGTCTAATTGTAATATTTAATATTTGTATTCAAAACCATGAAAAAAAAGGAATAAAAATTTCGAATTAATCGATAAAATTGCCCACCCCTACAACAGTGCATGTGTGAGTGATCCAAGCACTTGAAAAGTTTGGATCACAAGATGTGTCCATCCACACTCATGGTCAAAGGAATATACTCTGAAAAGCTAGACACAAGACGGCGTGGAAAATGAAGTATACCTAAGTCCACTTGCAGTATTTTGCCTGATATTGTGAGAGCAAGAAGCAAGATCGGCTGAGATCTCAAGAGTGTCTCCGGGAGCCTCTTCCTGAGAGCTCAAAGGAACAGCTTGTTGTGCCTTCTTCTCAGCGGCTTGCACGCAGGACTTTGATTTGCAGGAAATGGCTCCCCTGAGGAAGTTTAGAGCGCTCGCATCCAAAGTCAGAGCTGAGAGTGGAATCTGTTTAGCGTGTCTGCTGAATTGATGAGAGGCACATCAGCGCACAGAGCGGGGGGATTATAGGGGGGTGGGGGTCGCAGAGCACTGTGACATGCATGTCAACACGCCAGACCCGACAACACCAGCTCACCAACCGTAACCAAACACTGCCCTCCACAGCCACGACAACAGGGATGAGAGCGGACTACGGAAACCAGAAGATCTGTGCAAAACTACTGTAGAAAAATGACACATCTCATATGTAAAAGAATTTGAAGTGTTAGAAAGGTGCATAATTGCATGATTTATTTGCTGAATGCAGGAGAAAACAAATGTTTTGATGACAAAGCCTGAGTTGGAATCGGCAGGGAGCTCAGCTCACTTTCACACCGGGTGAGAACGGGAGGGTTTCCAACTGCACCGAGCATGCTCTGTCACCGGGCAGGCTGTCACTTCAGATGTGAATGGGAGCGACGCACTTCAGCGCGCTTTAGCTTCCAGCACGTCCCCATTGAAGATGAGGACGGGGGTGACGGTGCAGATGAAACAGTCAAACGTCTCATCCAGTGCAAACTGTTCAGCCGCAGATAGGAGAGGACTTGCCTCTGTTGGCAGTCTGACAGGAACATCAGGCAGAGAAAGCCAGGACAGAGGGTTTAAGCTTAGCTGGCAGAGGAACAAAGACAGTCAATCTGGGAACAGCTGAAATTATTAAGACACTTTACTAGCATGTAAGCTCTGCTGGAGAACACCTGCCTGACAGTTGTCCTTCAGCTTTCCAGCTGTGCATGTTCATTCACAACCGTTTAATGAGAAGCCAATTTCATTTTCAAAAAGATTCAAATTTGATACAAAGAGCATTTTATAGCACTATCAATTGTCAGTGCTGATTTACACAGTTAAGACCAGAATTGCAATAAGTTGGGTGAGTTAAGAGTAAGTCTGAATCACACTTACAATCTCGGTTCTAAAATTAGCTAATTTTCAGGTCGCTCAGAATTCGTACAAGGGTTGAGTGAACTCGCTCACAGCAATTTGGTCCTCGAGATGAATTTGATGGTTCATTAACATTCACAATTCTAATTAAAAGCCAACTGTATTTTTTGAATGCCTACTACTTTATTTTTATATTGCTGGAGACTATTTTAGGTCCTAGGAGGATGTAAAAATGCTCCAAAGCCTGATCGGAAGGCTCACAGGAAGTCTGAGATATTTCAAAGCAGTCTGAGAAAGCAAATGAGATGCCAAAGAGATAAACAGAAAGTGAATGAGAGAGTCAGCTTCGGGCAATAATGGGTCCATCGAACATCTGCTGAAGAGGCAGCCTTCACATGTATTATTATGCTCAAACACACCAGTTTTCCTCTTTAATGGCGGGTCAGCAGGGTTAATGAAATAAGATCCCTCGACCATTCTGAGCAGATTCAATCAAGGTCAGCTGATATGCTCCTCCTGTGGTCACTTCTAACTTACTCAGTGAAATTATTTCTGTAACAAAATTAATTAGTTAATTATACATTTGCCTCTCATTGGAATATCCTATAAACAGTTCCAGAGAGGGCGAATGATCCACGGAGACCACAAGACCCATTTTACTGTTTTCTACCCAACCTTGAAGAATAAAACATTGGTTCAGACACTTAGTTTCATAGTTTAACTTCATATTGGGCAGAAATATACTTCAGCAACAGCAGTAAAGATAAAGGGAACCTTTGTATTTGACTTTCTAGTTTATCAGGCATTAACTGTTTAAAAAATCTGAAATTAAATCACCAAAAAAGGTTTATTTCTTTTTCAACGAATATGAAAGGAAAAAAACTACCAGGGGGGAGAATATCCATTGCCTGGTAGTCACAGTGGGCCAAAAAAAGGACACATGGCGCCCTCTACTGCAATATAGAGAAAACACCACCCATCCCCAATACCACAATCGTGTGTAAACTACACATTAGAAATTTGCAACCAAATATAATAGCTGACAAAAGCACCAACCCTTGTTTAGAGAAATGTTTAAAAAAAAAAAGTTTTTTCCTCCCTGCGACAAGTGCACCATGCATTGCATTCATTTCAACTTCACACTGAGCACATACTTATTCAAAGTGACTCAAGGTACACATCTTGCCAATATGCATGTTTCTTTTCTGGGAATAGAAACCCTAGACGTTCTACCACGCACTACCAGCTGAGTAACAGGAACTGTAAACACAGCAAACCACAAAGTCCTTGCACAACTCATTTGGTCAATAAATGTGAACTGCTTTGGTCAATAGATGCTCACAGTTATTCTAGGCCTCTAATATTGTTTACTTCTAGTTCTCCTTGGCTAATGGGGCCTAAACTTAGGTATGTGACATATTATAGTCATAACCACCTTAGTACTTGTCGCTTGCACTGTTTTGTTTTGCTCAGCTAAAACCCCACATTTAGTGTGCATATGAAAGTGAAGTGAAAGTGAAGTGAACCCATACTTGGAATTAGTGCTCTGCATTTAAACCATCCAAAGTGTACACACACAGCAGTGAACACACACACACACCGTGAACACACACCCAGAGCAGTGGGCAGCCATTTTTTTGCTGCGGCGCCCGGGGAGCAGTTGGGGGCTCGGTGCCTTGCTCAAGTATTGACGGTAGGAGAGAGCGCTGTACATTCACTCCCCCCAACTACAATCCCTGCCAGTACGAGACTCGAACCCACAACCTCTCTAACCATTAGGCCACGACTTCACCCCCCCTTATGCCTTGTGCCATATGCCTTGTACTTGCACAGAAGACAATCCCAAAATAATTTGCACAGGTGCAAAAAGACTGCACAAGTGTTTCAACTGATATGCTATTCTTTAGCATTTCCACAAAATAAAGATCATGAGGTCTGCAAGCAGCTATATCACCAGTCTAATTTTCTATCAACTCAAATGTATTGAAGCGTTCTGCATGTTAAAACATGCAGAACGCATAGAGAAAGAGGAGGAACATACAGTGTACATCAAATGCACTGAAGATCTGCCTCGTCTTCTCATATGGATCTTCTGCTGACATCTTCTTCTCCATGAGAGACACAAACAGCTCCAGTGGGACGCCTTTCAGAGATAGAGAGATAGAATACTGGGTTTATTACAAAGCTCTCGTCTGAAGTGCATGCTCTTCCTTTACATGACAGTCATCTGAAAGCACTGTGTTTAAAGGAGTAATATCTTTCCCTCTTGCCTGCAGGGTAGTCATTTTTTTCTCTGAGTGCTGTTATTGAGATGAAAAAGGAGTTCTAGACAGCATTCTCGTGAAACACCAAACACACAGAGGCCGTCTGGTAAGGAGATCTGGGTGGGCTACGCTGACAGTGATGGCAGCAACTGGGGGATAAACCTCTACTGGGAAAATACTAAATTAATTAAGAGATCCAAGGACAGATGTGATGGCTCCACTGCACTTCGAGTCATGCCAAAACATACGCTGTAATCTGTCCTTTGAGAATCTCACGCCAAGTAATAAAAGAATACTACATGAACACTGAAAGGACTGTTTTCTAAAAACAAGTTAGTAAGCAGATTTGTACCTCTTTCTGAAGAAAACATGAGTGGTGCTTGACTAGAAGAAACACAAACACAATGCTAGAGTGATTATCAGGGTTCTGCTACGTGGTCATTAATGTGTTTTGGATGGGTTTTAGTTGGTTGCTCACTAGTTGGTTGCTCACTAGTCCATGTGAAAAATCCCAACATCAAGTTGATATTCTGGTCCCTAGATATGACACGCCTACCTCCTTCCCTCCTTTTTTGTCTGAAAAATCACACGTCTGATTGCTTAGAAAAGTAATAGCACACCTCTTCTCAAGCTGCATGATTTGAGGCATCACATACTGTATATCTGTAGCACAAATGGTGACGTACAAGATACATACCGATGTTTTCAAAATTGTCCAAATCCCTTATCTTAAGCAATAGTAATAGTAATGCTTGCCTTAGCAAGAACTTTTAATAACTAAAACACAATCATGTTTTCTTAAAGTCACAACGTAACAGAAGTAGTGACAGATCTTTTTATCCGCACTGTGACATACACCCATGTGAGATGGATTATCAAAAATCAAAATTATCGAAAATTTTAAATGTAGGGCGGTGAAACATGCATGGATGTATTATTCACAATAAGATAAATAACATGCATTTAAAAAATAGACGAGGAAATGTTCATTTCATATTGACTTTAAAGTGTGCTGCCAAATGTTGATAGAATTAGGACAAATTTGGCCTACAGAGATTTTAAACACCACATAAACGATATCTGTTTCTGTTATCATCACATAGCCATGAAAATCTATTACTTAACCTACATATTTGAATGAATTTATAAAAGTATTATAGACGCACAATGCATCTACTTAGTTCAGTTTTTAATACCCTTACACTCTCTAACAAAATATAACCCAGACAGCATGTTTGGCAACAAATAAAAGACGAAGAGCTGTGCAGACCTCTTTAAAACCCATCTCTCTCTCTCTCTCTGTTTCCCTCGTGCCTTTAAACAATGCTGGTGCAGGAAGCCAGATCAGGGCTGACTGACATTCACTGTGATACAGAGCCCATCAGTCAAGGATGTGTCAACTGGGTGGTCTGTACGTCCTTCCCAAGTTCCCACCCCTTTCTTAATTTCTGCCTCTCTACAATCTTCACTACCTTGGGGTCTTACTATGCTCTTATTTTTTCAAGTGGTTTTCTTCTCACTGCCCTCCCCTTCCCTCTGATCCTCACATCTTCTCTCCTCTTTTGCGTGACTCATTCAGCAGAACAGACCACTGCCTGACTTACTCACACACACACACAAACACAGGGAAATGTGCAACAGTGTTCTCGCCTAGAGCTCCTATTTAAAATCATGGACATCTCTGATTTGATGTGCTCTTTCCTCCCTTTTCACTTCGGACTATCCCTGAGCCATCCAGCCCAGGGTGGAAGCTGAAATACAACACTGCATGAATGCTTAATGTTGCATAACCAGCCTAAATATAAGAAGTTTTTTGGAGAATCAAAGACAAAATCTAAACCTTAAGATCTAATCTACTGTCATTCTGGTTAGTCAAGCATTTGTCTGGGCTTTTCAAATCAAGTGCCATCATAATCAAATATTTGTCATACAAAGCCTGGGAAGAGCCCATGTTTACATTTGCATGAATCTGAATGCAGTTCAATACATAGGGCTTCGACATTTTCTGAGTTTTCCTCTAGTGTTCTCAACAAATGCTGGCTATTTATGCAGGGATGTACAGATTAAACAAAAATTCTGGTCAATATTGATTATCTGATAAGTACTTTCGTGTCAGATAAATTGTTAATAATAAATTAATATAAATTGATATTTTGATAAAAGACAAGAATAGCAGGAAATATGTGCCACACTGAAATGTCAATAATTTAGCACTTCTTCATGAATCATAATGGTCACCACAAAATGGTATTTACCTGCATAAGAGTTTTTACCACACCAAAAATTAAAAATACCTATAAGGCCCAATCCCAATTCTACCCCTTAGCCCTTCCGTTCACGTGAAGGGGTAGGGGTGTCTCAATTCTCTTTTGGTTGGAGGGGTAGGGGTAAGGGGTAAGGGGAAGGGCCAGATAGCCCTTCAAACGAAGATTTTTCAGGACCACACTTCAAACGAAGGGGTATGAATTATCTCAGCGTAAACCGGCTTCAGCGGCAACATGGCTGCCCGAGCAAACAAAAAGACACATAAATGTAAGCATTTTTGCCATTAATAAAGAATTTAACGAAAAGTAATCATTTGTTTTCATTTGAATCGTGAGTTCATATTTACGGTCATGTTACTCAAAGAAATGTTTGCAAAAAATCGCTAAAGTTTGCTAACGTAATTTCATTACAGACTGCACGATAGTGCCACAACATATTTTCATGTCTGATCAGGGCGATAACCACCATAGACATTGAGGGGGGATAGCCCCCAATAATTAAAAATCGCTAAACCCTTTTCTCAAATATTGCCAATTCGAGAGAGAGAGAGCAAGACAGAGAGACAGAGAGATGAAAGTTGCGTGTATGCGCGTCTGTGCGTTTCACTTTTTAGAGTGAGTTTACTTCAAAAACAGCGATTTTATCCTCTCATTGCTGGAAAATATAATGTAGCGATTCAGTATTTAAACTGTTATTAATAAAAGTCGTGGAGCAGCGCTGACCAGTTTCTTTGCTCCTGGATGTGTGAGCTGCGCAATCTCTGATATACTGTGTGTGTGTGTGTGTGTGTGTGTGTGTGTCAGTGAGCAGCGCATTAATATAGAACAGTAATTAAAGGCTCTAATGCACACCTGCATAGGTGTGTGTATTGTAGGAGCTAGACGATGTCGTGTAACGGTGTAGTAGTGGTGTCCCAATTCTTAGGGGAATATTTTCACCCCACTCTGTTTCAAGGGACAAGGGGAAGGGGTATAAAATAGAATTGGGATTGGGCCTAAGTATTCCTATAAAAATGCTACAGACAAATGCAAACAACTTATTAATCAATAAACTAAAACGACTCCAACTATTCAAAGCCATGGTGTAGTGGTTGCTCTGTCACATTAACCTGTGGCGCTCATGGAGGCAAGGCGAGTATCCCTAACACAAAAAAGGCCAAAAATAAACATCTGTTATTAAATATAACAATAATATTCTAATTCTAATCTTTAAAAAAAGCATTTGCACTCTTATTCATTTGGTGCTTGTTTTCTTTATAAAAAATAAATAAATAAATAACACTAGCTTTCTAATCTTTTTGTATTCTATCTGTTTTCTTTTCATTTATTATACAATTAACAAAAGCAAAAAAGACCTCTAACACTAGCTTGCTCTATTCTTTTTCTATTCTATCAGTTTTCTTTTTATTTATTATATTATTTAAATAACCCTTGCTACGTGTACTGCGTTAAGCTAACTGAGACTTGTTATAGCACTTGTATATCATTGCTCTTTTGTTGATTTTGATTGCTTCCATTGTCCTCATTTGTAAGTCGCTTTGGATAAAAGCGTCTGCTAAATGACTAAATGTAAATGTTATGTAAATATCCATCAGTTACCATTGTGGAGGAATTTCTGAATCAACAACATCTCACATCCTGAAGCTTTCATGCCTCTGTGCTAAAAATAGAGGCACTAGAAATCGCAATTAGAAGATAGCTAGCTGTGTGACCTTTCCTCCGTTTCTCGCTTATTTCGCTAGTGAAAAGAGACGAAAGAGAGTGAGATAAAGGACAGTGGCAAGGGGGTGAGTGGGCTAGGCAAGTGGCAGTGGTATTGTGAACACCGTGTAGCTCTGAAGCCTTAAGTGGCCTCTTTTCCGTGCGATGAGCCTGCCAAAGCATTTCACTACTGAGTCTAGTCAAGCCTCCCACATCACCACCAGCAACCCTCTCCTCCTGACCGTCACTAATTTAGTAATCACATGAAATTCAAAAGAGGGGCAATTTAATTCACCATTTGCTCTGAGCAAGATTTGATGGTGGAATATTTCATCACACAAAGCATGCCACTTTAATTAGATTATCTTCTGCTTTCCCACAGGGCAGCATACAAAAGCAATTTGCTTGTGGGACAAAACAAGAAACAAATTACTTACTAATCTAGGTCTTCAACCATTTAATGTCTCCCTCAAAATGCTGTCAAACCCCCATTTTCCTCAGTGTTTCTGTCTGTCAAAAGGGCCTGTAGAAATCCTGTATGCATTTCACGGCAACATTATTTACCGCTGTTTGTCAGGATTTCATTACTGGCAATGTGTAAAAAGATTACACAGTATCTAAGTCAAGCTCCTTTTCCTTTCACTTTGCCTGAGTGGTATAAAATGTGGTTTTCCACATAGAAAAATCAATCAGGAGCGAAATTGTGAATATAATTTTAGACTGCACATCAATGTGGGTTGAGCGTCTGCTGAAGGTGAATCGCAAAACACTAAAATACACAGCACTGGCATGTGTACAACTGTAATTCAATATTGTAATATATATTCGACATGTAACAGTTACTATATTATGCCCTTACCTGGACAGTCAGCGCCATTCTCCATCAAGATATTGGTCTCTGACTACAAGAGAAAATACAAAATTAATGTTAAATTACAACAAAAATATATAAACAAACTAAAAATATTAAGCAAAACTGTAAATAACTAAAAAAATCTCCAATCCCTTTCAGCTTAAAATCATAAATATATGTAGGCTATACTTCACACACAAATATTTGTCACTATAAGTATTGAAATCATGTTTTCACTTAGTAAAACGGTTTTGATTATCTGACAGTCCGATAAAACGAGATCGATCCACTTCTGGCAGTTATCGGCATAAAAAAGACGGCAAGTTGCGCGTTACAACAAAAATATATAAACAAACTAAAAATATTAAGCAAAACTGTAAATAACTAAAAAAATCTCCAATCCCTTTCAGCTTAAAATCATAAATATATGTAGGCTATACTTCACACACAAATATTTGTCACTATAAGTATTGAAATCATGTTTTCACTTAGTAAAACGGTTTTGATTATCTGACAGTCCGATAAAACGAGATCGATCCACTTCTGGCAGTTATCGGCATAAAAAAAACGGCAAGTTGCGCGTTGCGCATGCGCATGCGCATATTGTGTTGCAATCCTAAACTTATTTCTAGTACGTTTAATATTCTAACATTGTTTGAAGTAACTCACATTTCGCTGTAGCAGTCAAATATGTAGCAAAATCTTTTACTATTACTCACTTTTGCTCACTCACAAAACCACAAATGTCTGAATTAGATGGTAGGCGATTTCCAAAGGGCTTTTTTCGCACTTGAACTGTACTCCGGAAAAATATGTGAATGGTTGTTCCAAACCAAAAGGTAAGCATCATAATCCCCACATGATGCCGTTTTTCTACAAGGCAGTAAACGAACAGCAATGCTACATATGTCATATCTATATGCAATGGTTACTTCGAGGGAATAATTGTACCGTTTTGGTCATGTGACTTGACTATCGTGATTTGTTGGCACTAGAACGACTCGGATTGATTTCAGTCCATCCGATTCCTGAACGAAAGAATCGTTCGAACCGGTTAACGTTATGTGAATCGGTTCAACGCAGAGAAGATCCAAATCAAAAGAACGATTCATTCAGGGAATCAAAGCTACAGTGTTGCCAAGTCAATTGGGCTACTTTAAAGGGGTCATATGGTGCGATTTCAAGTTTTCCTTTCTCTTTGGAGTGTTACAAACTGTTCCTGAATAGATAAGATCCCTAAAGTTGCAAAGACTAAAGTCTCAAACCCAAAGAGATATTCTTTATCAAAGTTAAGACTGGCCTGGTTTAAACCCAAGATTTGCATAACGCCGCCCAAATGTTCATGCAAAGAAAGAAGGCGTAACTTTATTGTTGCTGCCACCGCCATGTTGTGAAGACACTGTTTTTCGTTGTGAAAATACTTAGTTTGGCCTTCCAAAAGAGGACACGACTAGAAATCAGTGGTTAAGTTGTATTTACAACACTGTTCCAGAACAGTTCAACCCAAATATTCAGATGTGTGCAGCGCCTGGTAGAGTAGACTACAATGCCCAAAAGAGGACACGACTAGAAATCAGTGGTTAAGTTGTATTTACAACACTGTTCCAGAACAGTTCAACCCAAATATTCAGATGTGTGCAGCGCCTGGTAGAGTTGACTACAATGCCGGCTGTTCTGACTCACAGACTGTAAGTACGTTTTTTATATTTAAATAATTTGCCACTGACGATTCAAACGCGAGTTTTGAGCAGTGTAGAGTAGCACTTGTTGTTTGTCATTTCTCCGATCACAAATGCAGACAGAGTTTTATGTTTACGCGGCGCAATGCAACGCAACACATAAAAATACATTATAAATCATTATAATCCGTAATTATGTCCCCACTGGATGCAACAAATGCCTCATTTATAATGGGTTTTAATGTTTTTGTCTCATCGCTCCAGGACACGGCATCACAGTATGGTAAGGGGTGTAACAGAACGATGAGCTTTGTAAAAATCTACGTGTTTCAGAAAGGCGGGGCATAGAGGAGAAACAATAATGTACAGTATGTGGACAATAATGTGTTTTTTTTAAACCTTAAAGGGGTCATATGATGCGATTTATATTTTTCCTTTCTCTTTGGAGTGTTACAAGCTCTTGGTGCATAAAGAAGATTTGTAAAGTTGCAAAGACTAAAGTCTCAAATCCAAAGAGATATTCTTTATAAAATTTAAGAGTCAACCACGCCTACCTAAAACGGCTCGTTCTAACACGCCCCAACATGTCTACGTCACGATGTGGGAAGATTTGCATAATGCCGCCCAAATGTTCATGCAAAGAAAGAAGGCGTAACTTTTATTCTCGCTGTAGTATTGTTGTTGCCGCACCCGTCATGTCATGAAGGCGCTGTGTGTTTCGTTGTGAAAGCAGAACTACTTTGTTTGGCCTTCCAAAAGAGGGCGATATCCGCTTCGTCATGCCTGGAGCTGATCCGTGCTGGTCGCTGAGGAAATACTTCAACTTCGTGCTGTGGCTCGCCGGATCGGCTTTCACTGTGGACAAAATGGAGCCTAGCCCGGGGTCGCCATATGTGGTTGCTGCAAGCCCGCCCGCCTCCGCTCACTCAAGCCGGCCTCCCCTCACTCTAGCCTGCCGTGTGTGACGCTGTGTTTCGTTGTGAAAGCGAAACTACTTTGTTTGGCCTTCCAAAAGAGGACACGACTAGAAATCAGTGATTAAGTTGTATTTACAACACTGTTCCAGAACACTTCAACCCAAATATTCAGATGTGTGCAGCACATTTTATGGAGGACTGTTTCCTGATCCTGGTAGAGTAGACTACAATGCCGGCTGTTCTGACTCACAGACTGTAAGTAAGTTTTTTATATTTAAAGAATTTGCCACTGATGATTCAAACGCGAGTTTTGAGCAGTGTAGAGTAGCGTTTGTAGTTTGTCATTTCTCCGATCACAAATGCAGACATGGTTTTATGTTTACGCGGCGCGATGCAATGCAGTAAAAAGACAGTATAAGTCAGGGGTGCCCACACTCGGTCCTGGAGGGCCGGTGTCCTGCAGAGTTTAGCTCCAACCCTAATCAAACACACCTGAAGCAGCTAATCAAGGTCTTACTAGGCATACTAGAAACTTCCAAGCAGGTGTGTTTAGGCAAGCTGGAGCTAAACTCTGTTGGACACCGGCCCTCCAGGACCGAGTTTGGGCACCCCTGGTATAAGTCATTATAATCCGTAATTATGTCCCCACTGGATGCAACAAATGCCTCATTTAAAATGGGTTTTAATGCTTTTGTCTCGTTGCTCCGGTTGGGACAAGGCATCACAATATGGTAAGGGGCGTAACATTTCCGTCACACGCTTGAGGTATTCGGCCAATCACAACGCACTGGATAGCTGACCAATCAGAGCACACCTCCCTTTTCAGACCAATGAGCTTTGTAAAAATCGATGCGTTTCAGAAAGGCGGGGCATAGAGGAGAAACAATAATGTACAGTATGTGGAAAATAATGTGTTTTTTTAACCTTAAACCACATAAACACATTTCATTAGACCAAATACACAAAATAATGTTCTTTTTAGCAACATCATATGACCCCTTTAACACTGTTGCCGCGGGTTGTTTTTTATGTCCGCGGGTTGAAGCGACTACAATAACATGACAATTATCCCCTGGAATGCGAATTTTAGTAGGGGAACCCCGCCAAAAAACTTGTATTTTCCCGCCTGGAAGGTTTTTTTTTTTTTTAACTGGGGGCCCCCTCGAAACGTGATTGGGCTAGTTTTGAGTAGCGACTGGGCAGGTTTTCTTGTGAAATCCTGGCAACCCTGTAAAACTAGTCAACATCCCAGCAGGGGCTGGTTGCATAGACTAGTCTTAAAAGTTAAGACATCTCATTTGTTTCTTTAAGACTGGCCATCATTTTTTTAATTCAGTGTGAACACACCCTAAGACAGTCTTAACATAGAGGCTAAGTTTATGCAACTGACCCCAGAATAGAATTTCAGAACCAAGCGGGTCTCAGTTAAAGAGAGTAAATGTATATATTGGAAAATATCAAGCAAGTGATTCTGATTATTTTCTGTAGCCTACCTTTGATGGCTTGTATCCAAAAAGCATGACCACTGCTATCTTAAGATCTTCTCTGGACAAATAACCTTTCTTACCCACATCACATTGATGGAAAACCTAAAGAACATAGACATGGATATATTACAGTCAGAGTCAATCTGCAATCTTTATTAAGAAGTATGTATAACCCCAGCAGTTGCAACATTAAAATCAGAAACATAAGTTTAATTTGAAACATAAGTTTTTATTTGGCATTGGACGGTAAACAGAGAAGGATCGCACTGAATGTTCATAGGATTTTTAAGAAAAGAATCTGTGTTTAACACTGAACGTAGATGAAAGAAATCTGTGATTAGAGATCACTTGTCCAGTAAATGTGTGTGGGAGAATATGCCTGGCGTTCATGCACACTACTGTGAGCACGGTGGGGTGAAGAGGGTGTTTGTTGAAATGCTGTGGTGAAATAGATGTGTGAAATAAATCAGTGGTACTGTAAAACAGAAAGAAAGAATTTTAGTCTGATGTTAAAGATATATAGCATGGTCACCAAATCCAACAATTCAGCATAACTGGTGGTTACACTAGTTACCCCCCACTATTTCACACAAAATGGCTTTAAAGGGGTCATATGATGCTTTTTTTAAAGATCATTATTTTGTGTATTTGGTGTAACAGAATATGTTGACATGCTTTAATGTTCAAAAAACACATTATTTTTCAAATACTGTACATTATTGTAGGTCCTCTATGCCCCGCCTCTCTCAAACGCTTCGTTTTCTACAAAGTCCCTCCTTCCGACAAGCGCAGTCTGCTCTGATTGGCCAACTGACCCAGTGCATTGTGATTGGCCGAACACCGCAAGCACTCGTTGGAAATGTAACGCCCCTTACCATAATCGCGAGCTTCATCTTTCAAAATAAATGTAAAGACCGTAAATAATGTCATTAGTTTTACCATCAGTTCAAGCCGAAAGAGGAACAGACACAGTAATGATGCAGTTCACAAGGCGCGGTTAAGACAGCTGACTCCACTGTGATGTGACCCTGTCTCTCTCTCTCTCTCTCACACACGCACACGATGCGCAAAACTCCGCATTTGAACAGTCAATAGCAAATACTTAAACTAATAACAAAACAGTAGCTGATTCAGAAGCACCAGATTGTCATAGCAAAGTCAGAATGACCTCCTCTCCTAGGTTCACGAAACAGTCATCCATAAAATGCATTGCTGTTCTGTTGTAAGTAATCTTAAAGATTCCTAAATGCATCTACTTTCGGAAGGCCAAATAAAGTGCTTTTGCTTTCGCCTAGAAACACACAGCGTCTTCCTGACATGGCTGCTTCAACACTAACTGCGGTTACTGAAACCACGCCTTCTTTCTTTGCGTGCACATTTGGGCGCATTATGCAAATATTCCCACATAGTGACCTAGATATGGGGGGGCGTGTTAGAACGAGCCGTTTTAGGGGGGCGTGGCAGAGTCTTAAATTTGATAAAGAATATCTCTTTGGTTTTGAGACTTTAGTCTTTGCAACTTCAGGGATCTTATCTATGCACCAAGAGCTTGTAACACTCCAAAGAGAAAGGAAAACTTGAAATCGCATCATATGACCCCTTTAATGTTAAACAAATTCACTCTAGTAATATCAAACCTTATATCCTAAGCATATTGCTCTGATGTGAACAGACATAGGCTGAAGGTACACAGAGCAACTTTTTGAGCAATGTTGCCGGCCAACTTTAGTTAATGTTGACATCACCGGGCAACCAGGTGAGACACATGGTTCACAACCGATCTAAAGTATCCAGAAATGTGGAACCCATTTTCAGTGGGAAACTGCCCAAGCAACACTGCTCAAAAAAGTTGCCCGGCAAAATTGCTCAAAAAGTTGCCCCATGTATCATCAGCCATAGAGATATGGCAGGGTCACAGAATCCAACAGGGCACCATAACGGGTTACCAAAATCTGTTACCCCTCTCTATTTCACACAGAAAAGTTTTAATTTTATACAAAGTTACCCTGGTAATATCTAAACTTTCTTTTCTGTATTTTAGAAAACATTTTTCTCTGATGTGAACAACAGACATACAGCAGGAACACTAAATCTGACGAGGCAGCATAATGGGTTACCAAAATCCATTACCCCCACCATTTCAGAAAGCATGGCTTTAATGTTTCGGTCATGTCTAACCTTTTCTATTTTACATCCTAGGATGCATACTGCTCTGATGCAGAAATACTAAATGAAAAGTGCAAGACACACAAATACATTTTTTCACTCTTAATATCTAAAATACAACATTCACCTAATACCTGATAATATATTATAAAGTGCACCAAACAGCACCTAATAAACACCCAAAATGCACAAAACTGAATTGAGCACAAAACAAAAATCAAAGGTGAAATAAACACTTTAAAGTTTCAAAGGATTACTCTTTTGCATTCAAATTCAGATTAAATGCAGAGCAGATAAAAAAAAACATTTGTAATAAAGGGGAATTTGGTGAACATTACAGACGTTTTTATTTATATTTTATGCATTTTATTTAACATAATTTCCAAAGGAGCTTTACAGAATACAAACAAATTAAAAAAAATCTAAATGTAAATTATATATAATGTACATCAGTGGCATCCGGATGGACTGGATTGTTTCATTAATGATTCAAATAACAATCAAAGAATTTGGTGAACATTACAGACGTTTTTATTTATATTTTATGCATTTTATTTAACATAATTTCCAAAGGAGCTTTACAGAATACAAACAAATTTTAAAAAATCTAAATGTAAATTATATATAATGTACATCAGTGGCATCCGGATGGACTGGATTGTTTCATTAATGATTCAAATAACAATCAGAAAGGTAAAACCCAAACAAAAATATAATAACAATAGAACAAGCAATAACACCAGGACAGCTTAAATAAATGATCATGTTTCACAGCACCGCTCATCAAAGAACTTCAATACAATACAAGAAACAGACAATGAACAGCGACCTCTAGTCACGGATTTCTCTAGTGGTGTAGGTCACCGATTTAGACACACTTGTTATGTCCAGACATTATTATTTATGCAGATTACTTCTTTGCAATAATCGTAATGATTTATGCGGTTGCTGTTCAGGATGGATGTAATGCATTTTACATGCATGTGTGATTTAGGCGCCCTTCCCCTATTAAGCAATAACACCAGGACAGCTTAAATAAATGATCATGTTTCACAGCACCGCTCATCAAAGAACTTCAATACAATACAAGAAACAGACAATGAACAGCGACCTCTAGTCACGGATTTCTCTAGTGGTGTAGGTCACCGATTTAGACACACTTGTTATGTCCAGACATTATTATTTATGCAGATTACTTCTTTGCAATAATCGTAATGATTTATGCGGTTGCTGTTCAGGATGGATGTAATGCCCTTCCCCTGCTAGCCGCTCAGAGCCCGGATAGCTCAGTCGGTAGAGCATCAGACTTTTAATCTGAGGGTCCAGGGTTCAAGTCCCTGTTCGGGCGAAACGTTTTTTCGCTATAGAGGTAGAGAAAGATTTTTTTTTTCATTTTTTTTTTTTTTTCATTTGTGTCTGTAATGTCAAGAAACCTCACATTTACTTTTCTATTCACATCTAACGCGTTATCTAAATGCTACAACACCAAGCTTTTTAAATAATGCAGCACAGATCCATCCTATGCTCCTTCACTTAACTTACAAAGAAACGTGACAATGTTCTGTCGTTTAACTTTTGAACCACTTAACGTTACCTTGATCGCAGTATTGTCATTTGTAAATACCGTGTCAACTCAGCATCCACACCGCAATCTGTTTCAAACAAAGCTGTTTCACAAGCGTCAACGTTCAACAACATTAACTCAAATCTTACCAACTCCATTTTCTTCCTCTCGGCATTGTTTATTTCTCTCTCACTCCAAAAGCTTCTTCCAGTTGTGAATATTTGCATTGAGACAACCTAGATTTAAAAAAAAATTGAAGGCTTCTGGAAAGTTACATATGTTTGCATAGAAACCGTATGGATGTGAGGGATTGGTTGTCTGGGCGGTTTAAGCACGCAGTACCAGAGACGCTGACTGGATAGAAACATGAGAACGCTCTATGATAAATAGTCCGTTATTTTCAAAGTAAAAGTGTAGAAAGCTACTCATTGCAAGTCAATTTCGAGAAATCTTTCATCAACATATTTCACCCCTCAAACCAATTTATTAACGTGTAAGAAAAGTTGTATTCCGCTTAAGGAAAACGCTTATTTTAGGGCAATTAAGGATGTTTGCATTTTACATTATTTTCATGACAATTAAGTACCCCCATCCTCATTATTGTAATGCAAAAATACAAACACAGTATACGCGGTTGTAATGAAATACTGATTCAAAAAAATAACCTAGACGTGTTAAAATATTACATATTACATTAGAATCATTACTTATTATGCAATATTTACATTATTATTTTGATTATAATTCTATTATTATTCTATGAATTTTGCTTGTCACTTGATTTTCTTTTAAAAGAACTAATAAATACAACTTTTAGAATGTTGAGCTATGGGATGACAAGTATGGAGGACGAAACCTGCAAAAACAATAAATAAATAAATACACAAATAAATAAATAAATATGCAAATAAATAAATAAATGTCTGTATAAATACACAAATTCTTGTTTAAATACATATAGAAATAATTAAACGTGTGATTAAAGTAGGCAAATAAATCAAATAAATTAGTGGACAAATGGAAAATATTTAAGGAAATGCTAAACTCATCCTGTTTATTTTCCTTTGGTCACTCATTTATTTCTGAATGAAGTTACACATTTATTTTTCCTCTGCGCAACATGCTAATGAGAGGGTGTCAACCATGGACTTTAGTCTGGGTCATGTCATAGCTGGGGAAAACAATTATTTCCCGCTGATAGGAAATGCATGGTGTTAATCCAGTATGGCCTACTTAAAGTCACTTTTTCCATTCAACAGAGCAAGATACATAAAAAAACTGAGCTGTATTGTCCGCACAGTATCTGTGACTTTACAAACGACCCAACGAAATGGCCAGTGTCGTTTCCTGACGTCATTTTTTGTAACCCGATTGAGTCTCCAGCTCTAGAGACAACTGTAATATCAGTATCCCATGGTCATTGTGAGATGACTGGTATGAAGTGGTTTAATCGAGGAACAGACCGTTTTTTCCCCATTAGTTATCAGAACAGAAAATACAGGCGACAAAAGTATGTCTATTAAGCAAATAACAGTTCAGTATTGCAAATAAGAGCTATGTAAACATTAATATTTTACATTGGCCACTTAAAATCTCTTATGATTTAGCTCTCTCATGATTATAACTACAAAACTAACCCTATGAAAAAGTGTAAGATAATAATCAGTCCCCTTGACTGATGAAGTTAATACGCATGCGCACACGATCTACTCTTGCATAAGTGACTACCTCTCATTAGCATGTTGCGCAGAGGTAAAAAAATGTGGAACTACATTCAGAAATAAATGAGTGATCAAAGGAAAATAGTTAGGATGAGTTTAGCATTTCCTTAAACATTTTCCATTTGCCCACCAATTTATTTTATTTATTTGCCTACTTTCATCACATATATAATTATTTATTTATGTGTTTAAACAAGAATACGAGTATTTATGCACACATTTATTTATTTATTTGTGTATTTATCTATTTATTGTTTTTGCAGGTTTCGTCCTCCATAGGACAGTGAGCTCAGAATGAAACTTTATGTCTGAAAAAAAAAAACTCCCAGTTGCATATTTATTTACAAAACATTAGATTTATGGAAGCCCACTTCCGCCACATCTAAAAAAATATGTTTGCTGAAAGCTAAACACATAAAGTCGAAATGATGACATAAGTCATAATTATGAGATTAAAGTCGAAATTATAAGATTGTTCAATGTCGAAGTATCATAGACTTTTATTTTGAAGAACATTGTGCCGTGTCTCTACATGTGGAATGTACAGTCAGACTCGGAGCGAGTGCATGCCAAATCAAAACACAGCGAACTGTTGTGGTGCTGTTATGATATGAGTTTCAAATGGACAAGGGTCTAGCAGTTTTGTAGCTGTATATTTGCAGCACTTATCTTTCTTTATAACCGTAAACTATTTTAAAAGTATCTTCTTGTAGCCTTACATTTCCTCTTCCCGCCTCTTTGTAAGTCTACGTTCATTTACGTTGAACTACATTGGTATTATGTAACGCATACAGTGTATAGCTTTACGATATATAATTTATGCGAGCATTTATCTCTTGTACAAACTCCATCTAACTTACCTGTGCAAATACACAAAGTTGTTATTTGAACACAAAACCAGCAGTGTTGTATACATTACATAGTATGAAAGTTTACAGCATATGGTTTGCTGTGTGCAACTATAAAAGTAAAATGATACTGTGATCCACAGCTGAACAAAAATGTCCCAGGACAGTCAACATGGCAAGTGGACCATATCAGATAGTGAAGACGAGGACAACATTATTCCTCCAACGCCTCAGAAGGATTCAAACAAACCAAGCATTAAACCTGATTTAGAAAGAAAACCTGATACGATCACCACTTCCAGAACCACTTTGAGTCCAAAACGCAATGAGGACAACCATTCTGTAAAAGAACCGTCCGCTCCCTCCATGGGATCTGAAGCCAGGAAAGTCGCACATGTGAATCAAACCATCCCTGTAAAATATGAAAGCAACCCTTCACCTTCTGTAAAGAGAAAGAGAGAAACAGAGGAGGCAGGCTGGAACCTCTCAAGCAGTGATGATGAAACTCCACCACCTGCCCCGAAAAAAGAGCCCAAGAAGTCTGATGTAAATCCTAAGAAGAAGAAGACTGAAGACAAACGTCCTCCGAGTCCTCACGGCACTAGTTATTATAAAGAAGAGCCAGCTGATTTCTTTGAGACCAATTTATTGTCTATGAATGACATGTATCGTTTTTATTTAAACAAAGTCACTGGGATACCAAAAAAGTTCAACACTGGAGCGCTGCATATCAAAGGTATGTAAAGAGTTTGTCTAAGTTCTGAGACATGTTATATATTTCTAATCATCTTATAATAATCTGTTTTCTTCTTCTGTTCTATAATCAGATATACTTTCTCCAATGTTTGGAACCCTGAAAGAGTCTGTACAGGTATTGTGTTAATGAATGAAGTTGCAGCTAAAGAGACTACTACCAACCATACAACATTTTGTAATGTTTTTATCCTGATCAACATCTTGTTTTCTTTTTCTTTTGTAGTTTAATTACTGCTTTGACATTCCATGGATGGTGGAGCAGTATCCACCTGAATTCAGGTAGGAGGAAATCTCACCTTTTTGGATTTGATGTAGAGTTGCAGACTCATTTCACCACACTGAACACATGTCAGTGAGTACTTATGCTGTTTGTTTTTGCTGTTTTTAGGGACAAACCGGTCGTACTCGTTCACGGAGAAAAAAGAGAGTCCAAGGCTCGGTTAATCGAGCAAGCCAAACCATATCCACATATCCGTTTCTGCCAGGTTTTGTCATTTTTGCAATAATCTACTTTTTCCACTAGAGGGAAGCCTTAAACTTTATGGTAGTCTGAGGTCCTCTAAAATATTTTGTCTTTCAGTAACTGTGTATATTGGAAAAACATATAAAAAATACCTTTAGGCAGGCTTTTTAATGTTTAAAAAAAGGAATACTAAAAAAAAGCTGTGTCTTGGAGAATCAAACTCTGTCTTGTTTTTAACAGGCCAAACTGGATATTGCATTTGGCACACATCATACGTGAGTGTTGGATGTTTTATTTATCTATATAATTTTAGTGAGACAGTGGGTGAAGAAAATAAGACTTAAGCTTGAAGTTTCTAGTAAAAATCATGTACATTACATTGTTAAACATATATGTACAGCCATAAAACAGGTGCGTAAAATAAAGCATTCAACCATATGATAAGCTTTTTCAGTAGATCGGTTTATACCAAAAAGCTCAGTGACTTTTAACGTGACACTGTCATAGGATGCCACCAGTTAAATGCTTGAGTCTGATGTGTAGCACTTTACTGGCCTGCACCTGAACCATGGGACTCCTCTGGGATAAGCTGAAATGCCAACTGTAAGCCACATCCCATCAGTACCATCACTGAATATGGATAAAGCAATTTGCTCAGTCAGGACAGCACCTAACGTCTTCTAACATTAAAACATATTAATGCTCACAGTTATGAAATGAAACACTCAGAAAGCATATATTGGTGTGGTTCTAGTAGTGGCTTGGTTTTTAAGTAGCAATGCAACAGTGGCGGTGTTGTAGCTCACTTATATAATTTAATTAACACCTTGATCAGGATTTTGGTTTTATGAGCAGCCAGTAGCGTAATGCATATTGAATGTAGCACTCCTCAAACTACTCAAATGAGTATTAACATCTTCGCATTCCAGTCCGTGCAGATTATCAGCTGAGCATCTGTTGTGATAAATTGAAGTGAGATGTTAAACAGGCGCAGTATTAAATTTTAATGTGATATATTCCTAGAGTACTGTTTTCTCTCACAATAATCTTCTTTCATGTTTTATTCAACAGAGAAAGACATAACAGGATTGAGCATTTTTGACTCCAGAGGAGCAAATTAAATGGCTTGTCTTATTTTATATAAATTGAACAAAAAAGGAAGCAAAAGAACAAAAAGATTGGCAGTATAATCCTTCTCGAACACCTTTGTCAAGTCTTCATGTGCTAATTTGCCTTTAAATGAGTTCTAAACGCCCCTCTCTGAAGAACATGGAGAGTTATTTTCTTAGTTTATTAAGTGAAATAATACATTTTCACACAAAGAACAGCATAGAATTGATTTTGTATTTCAATACGTTGGGTTTTTGTTATAATTAATACAACACAAAAGCTGAAGGTGTAATAAATGTGCCCCATTGTTTTAAATGTATTCTTTTATACCGCTTGACACAAAAAGCCATGGATTTTAGATGAAATCAAAGTTATTATGCAGGGAAGTAACGAGTCTTTGGTAAATGTGCCATAGGGTTTAATGGTAGACACAAATGAAAGAAAGAGATTGCATCAAATGAATGACATTATGTAAGATCAGTCGTATTAAAATCATAGTTGCCTTTTGCAGGAAAATGATGCTGCTTTGGTACGAGGAGGGATTCAGAGTCATCATTCTTACCTCAAACCTCATCCGAGCCGATTGGTACCAGAAGACACAGGGGTAAGATGGTCCAGTGTGGAATGGGAGGGGCTAAAAACAAACTCGTGGGAATGAATGGTCAGAATGGAAACGTTCTAGCTGACGGTGCAGTCAGTTTAGAAACGAGCTGTTTATGTTGTGCTCTCTTTTGTAGTTGCCCGTTTTCTGAATACGCCAACATTGGTTTCATATCTGAAATGAAAAAGTGGTGCATTCGCTAGTCCTAATGACACGTTTTTCTGTTGCTATGACAACACACTGAGCAGACACTTAGTCAATTGAAATGAAGCTGATGTATCCTAGATAGGAGTGTTGAGCTCTGCAAATCCGAATAATCCAATCATGTAGACACAAATGAAAGAAAGAGATTGCATCAAATGAATGACATTATGTAAGATCAGTCGTATTAAAATCATAGTTGCCTTTTGCAGGAAAATGATGCTGCTTTGGTACGAGGAGGGATTCAGAGTCATCATTCTTACCTCAAACCTCATCCGAGCCGATTGGTACCAGAAGACACAGGGGTAAGATGGTCCAGTGTGGAATGGGAGGGGCTAAAAACAAACTCGTGGGAATGAATGGTCAGAATGGAAACGTTCTAGCTGACGGTGCAGTCAGTTTAGAAACGAGCTGTTTATGTTGTGCTCTCTTTTGTAGTTGCCCGTTTTCTGAATACGCCAACATTGGTTTCATATCTGCAATGAAAAAGGGGTGCATTCGCTAGTCCTAATGACACGTTTTTCTGTTGCTATGACAACACACTGAGCAGACACTTAGAGTCAATTGAAATGAAGCTGATGTATCCTAGATAGGAGTGTTGAGCTCTGCAAATCCGAATAATTCAATCACGTTGTTATAGACACCTCTCTGACCCAAAATGGTGTTTAAATTAGCTACATGGAATAATTGCTTAAATGAAGCAGAGTTTTATGAAAGCTGTCCATTAATAAAGATATTCTCCATGGTGTTATATTCATACCAGCAGAAGCTAGCAGGCAGTTCAGAGCGATGGCCAATGAATTAGCAATCACTTTCGGTTATTAGGTTCGATTTTATTAGCATGTATCAGGACCAGAATACCATTAAGGAGACAAAAGCTCCAGAGTCATAGGGTTAGGCTGGCATTTAAGCTGTGGATTAGTGTGGAGGAAATGAAATCTCTAAATTAAGCAGTTAATATTTAAACCCACTGGCATACATATATTCAGACAATCTGACAAAGTACAGTATATTGGCTCATTCACTCAACCTGTACTGCGAGATTAGTGTCAGTTCACACAGAGGGCATTCAGTGCTGTTGGAGCTGTGACCTGGTTAGTGCACATGCTGTGTCATATGGTACTGTGGTGCGATGTGAGTCGAGTTTAAATCCGGCTTGATATTTCCCAATACAATTCCCACATGTTCTATGCATCATTTCTTGTCCTCAATGTCCCTGTAAATAAAGTGTAACCACAAAAGAAAATGATTGGTAGACTAGAAAAGTGGAGAAATAGCCACAGCTGCTAAATTTGAAAGAATAAGGCAGTGTGTCCACCAGAGCATCTTTGTCCAGCTGTAAATGCCAGGCACTCTGCTAAAAATGCCTGTGGTTGTACATTTGGTTGTAAAATGAACATTTAATCAAAGTTGGCACTATTTACTATTCACATTTTTGGTCTTGTTGTGAAGAATTATTTGAAAGAAGTCTCTTATGCTCACCAAGGCTGCTATTAAAAATACACTAAAAGCAGCAATATTTTACAATATTGTTACTATTTAAAGTTCTCTAACTTAATATAATTTAAAAGTCATTTATTTCTGTGATGGCAGAGTTGAATTTTTAAGCAGCCATTATTTGTTTTTAATGTCACATGATGATCCTTCAGAAATCATTCTAGTATGCTGATTTTGTGCTCAAGAAACATTTCTCTAATTAACAATGTTGAAAACAAAAGTTATGCTGCTTAATTTTTTTGTGGAAACCATGGTTAATTTTTCAGGATTCTATGATGAACTGAAAGTTTAAAAGAACAACATTTATTTCAAATATAAATATTTTGTTACTGTTCATTTCTTACAAAAAATAACAGTTAGTGTGGGATGACAAATGATAATTCACATTGAATTTAATTACAGCTGAACCGTTTTGCCGTAGTTTGCTCCTTATCACCAACAATTGATGTAACTGGTGCATGTCTTCAGAAAATCCATATGCACCAATTTTTGTGGTATTGTACTAACAATATTCAATTAGACATTATAGATATTATATAGGATATAGATATTTTGATTCTAGTCCATGATGTTTTGGAGTTATTAACAAAAACATAAATTTTCTGCATATAGCGCCAGCTAGTGTCAGAAAGATGTGTTTGTGTGTGTGCCTGAGTAATGAGTGAGGTTGGGACCATGGCTGAATGGATTATAGATCTGCTATTCTCATGAAAATTGCAAAGCTTGTAAACAGCAACAATTTTTTCTCTCGCACAATAGTAAGGCAGGCATAGTTCAGCTATTTGAATTGGCTGGGCAAATGCTAGATGCAGTATTTCGTCAGTGTTCCTCGCAATCGCCAACCTGTCTCTATCAGCTTCAGACCGCAGTGAATCACAATGAATATCATTAAAAATCTGACATGTCTCCCCATCTGGTTCTGTCTGATCTCAGGTATCCCTTCTATATTGTAGCGCAAGCCACATTCTTATTATTATTCACATTGTACTAACAATATTCAATTAGACATTATAGATATTATATAGGATATAGATATTTTGATTCTAGTCCATGATGTTTTGGAGTTATTAACAAAAACATAAATTTTCTGCATATAGCGCCAGCTAGTGTCAGAAAGATGTGTTTGTGTGTGTGCCTGAGTAATGAGTGAGGTTGGGACCATGGCTGAATGGATTATAGATCTGCTATTCTCATGAAAATTGCAAAGCTTGTAAACAGCAACAATTTTTTCTCTCGCACAATAGTAAGGCAGGCATAGACATAGACATGGCTGGGCAAATGCTAGATGCAGTATTTCGTCAGTGTTCCTCGCAATTGCCAACCTGTCTCTATCAGCTTCAGACCGCAGTGAATCACAATGAATATCATTAAAAATCTGACATGTCTCCCCATCTGGTTCTGTCTGATCTCAGGTATCCCTTCTATATTGTAGCGCAAGCCACATTCTTATTATTATTCACACAGACAAAGGTTCTTCCTCTCAAGTCTCGTCTGAAGGGCTTTTCTGCTGCCTTTATTGTAATGGCTCCAATCTGAATCCATTGATTTGTTCTCCTTGAGCCTCATGGGAATATGCTATAACCAGTCTGTCAAGACGAGTCCCCACACTCCTCCAGTCATGAGTTATTGGACTTCTTTAGGAGAAGTCTAGCACGTTGAAGTTTTTTTCTGCATGAATGTGTGCCCTTGTAGAATGCAAAAGCTTTAATACTATGACTTAAAACTTTTCTACAAAAGTTAAAATGTTAACTAGCAAAACATTATTAGAAATTGACTTGGTGCATAAATTGATTAATTGCTGTGGGCCTTAGTAAAGATAGATGCCATATTTTAATTGAGGTGAATGAAAATGCATAAGGAATTTTGACAACCCATGTTTATCTTTTTTCACTGAATTAATTTTATGGAGAGACAAATTTGAGCTTTTACTCCATTGCATTTGATCTCAGCAGCGATGCTCCTTCGCTACTGAATCTTCGGAGTCATGGAAAAATAAATCATATTTTTAACATACTGTGAGTTTTTAGTCGATATTGAATGTGATGCAATAAACAAATGTGGAATGATATCAACCAACATTCTTCTATTGAGTTGTCTTTGTGGGATGTGCGCAAAAACAAACCGGTGTAGTCTGACTTCCAAACAAATTACTCCTATGAAACAATTATTTTAATGAACTTTTTTTGTGTTTGCCTTTAGAATTGATTTTCAGAGGCATTTTTACTTTTACTTTTTTGCTTTTTAACTAGGCATATGACACATGCAAGCCAAATATGACATGCCCCAGTCGCAACTTCAGGATCTGACAATCTTGTGCATGAACTTTGTAACATTTTGATGATTCACGCCCTTCATTAGTAAATTTGTTGCTTCTATTTCTATGACAGGATGTGGATGAGTCCTCTATACCCCAGGTTACCGGAGGGAAGTCCGGAAACAGCGGGGGAGTCTCCAACCAACTTCAAAAGCGACCTGCTGGAATACCTGGAAGCATACCGGGCTCCAGAGCTTGCTGAGTGCATTGACCGCATCAAACAGCATGATCTGTCAGAAACAAGGTGAGAATCTTAACAAGTGAAAGAGACATTATTTAATTTAGAAAGATGATGTGATATCAGACTAGCATAGTCAGACCTTCGGCTGATTGCAAAAGGCGTTCACAATGCTGCTTATTCTAGCAGAAACCATCAGTTTTGAGACTGTCTGAGTGACATGTAAATCAACCAGTTTTTTTAGTTTTTCATGCCATTTAGTTGTTGGTTTATCTAAAATAGATGATACCATTGTATTTTTTTTGTTGTTGATGTTTTTGAAAGCTCGCCAAAACAGCCATTTTCTATTTTAATATAATTTATTCCTGTGATGGCAAAGCTGAATTTCCAGCATTATTACTTCAGCATTACATGATTCTTCAGAAATCATTCTTATATGCTGATTTGGTGCTCAAGAAGCATTTCTTATTATTATCAATGTTGAAAACAGTTGTGCTGCTTAACATTTTTGTGGGGACCAGAATACATTTTACAGAATTCAGTATTGGAAGTATTAAAAAATCCTACTGACCCCAAACTTTTGAATGGTAGTATACATATTAAAACACAAGAAAATAGAGTACAGTTTGCAGACTTTATGATCAGAGGATCTGTCCATCCAAATTTAATTATTTTTCACAGTCATGACTCAGAAAACAAAGCAGCCTATACAGTTCTGCTCATGAATATCTAGTTTATTTGCAGTTTGATTTCTAAATAAAACTCAGCATATCTGTCAGATTTGGTTTCACTAATATGACTTGGTTAATTTGATAAGTTGTGAAAATTGCAGAAACAAATCCCACCTCCATCATTTAAATGCTGACTAATATTATATCTAAATTAATTAAAAATCTAAATTAATTAAAATCTAAATAAAAAATTATATTAAATGTGATAATTATTGAATTAAAATTGTTGTTTTTTTTAAATCACATACAGGTGCATCTCAATAAATAAGAATGTCGTGGAAAAGTTCATTTATTTCAGTAATTCAACTCAAATTGTGAAACTCGTGTATTAAATAAATTCAATGCACACAGACCGAAGTAGTTTAAGTCTTTGGTTCTTTTAATTGTGATGATTTTGGCTCACATTTAACAAAAACCCACCAATTTACTATCTCAACAAATTAGAATATGGTGGCATGCCAATCAGCTAATCAACTCAAAACACCTGCAAAGTTTTCCCATTGAGATGCACCTGTATAACTGCTTTTATTTGTTTTCTTTTATAGGGTATATCTCATTGGTTCAACTCCAGGAAGATATCAAGGACCTGCCATGGAGAAGTGGGGCCATCTACGATTAAGAAAAGTAATGTTTTTGTGTGATTACTCTATCTTTTTGTGTGATTCAAATATTTTTCCTTCAAAGGCAATAGTTTCTCTTCGCCCTAGAATTAAGAATGATTGATGTTCATAAAAAAGCATTGTACGCATGCAGGATGTCTTGGAGATATATTCTTCATGCCTTATTTATTGAGTGAATTCAGATAACACGGGCAGAGCAAGGTGTTGGATTGGTCTTTGCAAGATTCAGAAACTGAGCCAGGAGAAATCAGTTTCTGTACTAAAATGAAGTCACACTGAACATTATCTAAACGGCACTTTGATATGAATGACTGACTCACACAGCACACTCTTTACACCTTCATAAGGCTTAACCCACATCAGTGGATCTCAACAGGTGGGTCGTGAACCAAAAATAGGTCAAGGGCTGTTTTGAAAAGATTGCTGACAGCAGAGCAAAACAATACTAATGCACATAATAACACGCAACCGATCATATAACATGCATACTTATGATAGTTAGAATAAATAGGCTTATTATCTTTTAAAAGAGAGGTAAAAACACTTCCCCTATCTTCTGTTTTAACGTCAAAGGCCTTGTGTCTTATTTTGTTGCTAATTCATCTGTCAATTGATAAAAGCTAGCCAAATAAGACACATGCAAATATTGACGTAGTGTGACATACACTCATTGTTTTTGTTTCTCTCAGCTGCTCAGCGAGCACACGAAGCCCGTGCAGAACGAAGAGCGATGGCACGTGCTTGGCCAGTTCTCCAGTATTGGCTCCATGGGACTTGATAAAACTAAATGGTTGGCAGCGGAGTTCCAGCGCACTCTGACCACACTGGGGAAAGCAGGGAAATCATTAGCCAGTCCAGAAACACAGATGCTCCTGGTGAGTGTTTCGAACAGCCCCCGCAGAGCATTCTGAAATGGTGAAAGGATCTGTTCATATATCGCTGCCGTACCCTCTCTGGATTGCGAACAACGTGGCCAGATGGATATTACAATAAACACAGTGGCATATTCTCCTACCAGCTTGCTTATCTATCAGGATAAATGAGCCCTCAATTGTGTCTCCATTTTAATTAGGTTAGAATCAAGGAGGGACGCCGGTGTGCACATGTGCATCTGCCTGTTCCTCGTTTGTGTATTTCAGTATATAATTCCTCTGAGCTATGAAATTTGAAATTTGTTGACGTCCCGTGTGTTTAATTAGCAATTAGTATTCATAGCATGTTCCCATTTGCTATACTTGAATTCCAATTTTGCAAAAAAGGAAACCTTTTCAAGTCTCTCTCGGCACGAGCTGTTAGAGACAATAGTTACAAGAAGAATTCTCATCCATTCTGTTATTTGGATAACAATATCTGCTCAGATGGAGGGATAGAAGATTGATTTCTGTCTGATGCAGCTATTGTTAAATGTCAGTTGAAAAGTCAAGGCGCCACACGGAGTGTCTTCAGCACAGAGAAAGATGGCAGACAGTACCATCAAGCCTTAAATGTTACTGTGTCATCTCTAAAGACCGAAGGCTTTTACAATTAGCGGGCTTCAGAAACTCTGTTGAACTATTGAGGTGATTCAGTTCCATAACTGTTAAGGACGGGTGAAATTATTCACAAGTTCTAAATGTAGACATATACAGGTGCATCTCAATAAATTAGTCCTTGATATCTTCCTGGAGTTGAACCAATGAGGTATACCCTATAAAAGAAAACAAATAAAAGCAGTTATACAGGTGCATCTCAATAAATTAGTCCTTGATATCTTCCTGGAGTTGAACCAATGAGGTATACCCTATAAAAGAAAACAAATAAAAGCAGTTATACAGGTGCATCTCAATAAATTAGTCCTTGATATCTTCCTGGAGTTGAACCAATGAGGTATACCCTATAAAAGAAAACAAATAAAAGCAGTTATACAGGTGCATCTCAATAAATTAGTCCTTGATATCTTCCTGGAGTTGAACCAATGAGGTATACCCTATAAAAGAAAACAAATAAAAGCAGTTATACAGGTGCATCTCAATAAATTAGTCCTTGATATCTTCCTGGAGTTGAACCAATGAGGTATACCCTATAAAAGAAAACAAATAAAAGCAGTTATACAGGTGCATCTCAATAAATTAGTCCTTGATATCTTCCTGGAGTTGAACCAATGAGGTATACCCTATAAAAGAAAACAAATAAAAGCAGTTATACAGGTGCATCTCAATAAATTAGTCCTTGATATCTTCCTGGAGTTGAACCAATGAGGTATACCCTATAAAAGAAAACAAATAAAAGCAGTTATACAGGTGCATCTCAATAAATTAGTCCTTGATATCTTCCTGGAGTTGAACCAATGAGGTATACCCTATAAAAGAAAACAAATAAAAGCAGTTATACAGGTGCATCTCAATAAATTAGTCCTTGATATCTTCCTGGAGTTGAACCAATGAGGTATACCCTATAAAAGAAAACAAATAAAAGCAGTTATACAGGTGCATCTCAATAAATTAGTCCTTGATATCTTCCTGGAGTTGAACCAATGAGGTATACCCTATAAAAGAAAACAAATAAAAGCAGTTATACAGGTGCATCTCAATAAATTAGTCCTTGATATCTTCCTGGAGTTGAACCAATGAGGTATACCCTATAAAAGAAAACAAATAAAAGCAGTTATACAGGTGCATCTCAATAAATTAGAATGTCATGGAAAAGTGCATTTATTTCAGTAATTCAACTCAAATTGTGAAACTCGTGTATTAAATAAATTCAATGCACACAGACTGAAGTAGTTTAAGTCTATGGTTCTTTTAATTGTGATGATTTTGGCTCACATTTAACAAAAACCCACCAATTCTCAACAAATTAGAATACTTCATAAGACCAATATAAAAAACATTTTTAGTGAATTGTCAGTAATTAAAGCAAAAGGAGTCCCTATCAAGGATTGAGTACATGTACAGTAAATGAACATACTTTCCAGAAGGCCAACAATTCACTAAAAATGTTTTTTATATTGGTCTTATGAAGTATTCTAATTTGTTGAGAATTGGTGGGTTTTTGTTAAATGTGAGCCAAAATCATCACAATTAAAAGAACCAAAGACTTAAACTACTTCAGTCTGTGTGCATTGAATTTATTTAATACACGAGTTTCACAATTTGAGTTGAATTACTGAAATAAATTAACTTTTCCACAACATTCTAATTTATTGAGATGCACCTGTAAAGAACACATTATGAACAAAGCTACTTTTCTATTGAGATCACATCTGTGTTGTGCAAGTCAGACAGTTTAGTTCGGTCTAGTTTCTTAGTGTTTTAAAGGTCAGTAGGTTTAATGGGTAGATAGATAGCCTACAGTTCAATAGTTTGGGGATTATAAGATTTTTTTGTCACATAATGCTTTCGAAATTATTCTAATATGCCGATTTTGTGCTCAAGAAACATTATCAATCAGTTGCACAGCTTATTATTTTTGTGAACTGTGATATTTTTTTTTCTTTGAGAATGGAAAGTTCAAAAGAGCAGCATTTATTTGAAATAGAATCTTTAACAATGTAAAAGTCTGTTACTTTTGATCCATTGACTCCATCCTTGAATCCCTAAACAAAAGTATTTATTTTATAAATGTATTTTAAGAAAAAGAATATTACTGAACATTGTCAAATTGGCATAAACAAAAAAAACAAAAAAATGTAATGAATCCTTTCTGTCATTTCTAGGTTTACCCATCTGTGGAAAATGTGAGAACCAGTTTGGAAGGCTATCCAGGTATCATTCATTTTTTTATTCTGAAATCAAAACATTTTTTTTTCCTCACACCTCCACATATGATGACCAACTGTTCTTATCCCTGCAGCTGGGGGATCTTTACCCTACAGCATACAGACAGCTCAAAAACAGCTCTGGCTTCATTCTTACTTCCAGTAAGTTGTCATATCTCTATAAAAAAAACATTTTGACAATGTACTCATCAATATTCAGCCTAAAATTTTAAAACCTTTTTAAATGTTACCATAAATAATCTCCTAAAAAGGCTCCTCAGCAGTGCTCCAGACCCCGTGATCTAAACAACTGCCTTTCCCAAGAGTTGTCTGACCCTTAAATTGCTCCTTAGAAATTTCAATTGGGTTCTTATCCCATCTCTCCCATCATTTTAACACATTAAAACCATAAATAAGCTATTTTACTGGTTGCCTCAATTTTACTAAGTGATCAGAGATGGGCCTATTGCGATGTAGATTGAATCTCAGTCCCCCTCTGGAGTGCGCACTCTACACTTCTACTCAGTATATTTAAATGAATCCATGTAGAATTCTGTATTCATGCCTAAATGCTGACAGCAATCAGACAGAAAGCTCTCCTCTTCGTCTGCACAGCATCATCTCTCTGCACCTGCAAATGGCATGAAATACTTCTTTGGGTGTTTTTGCACCTAGGAAATGTATATCAGCAGGTGTTTCTCCATTTTCTTTCTCTCCTTCACTTAGCTTCTCAATCTTTCTCCTCTAAACAGTGGCTGGCATGCTGATGTTACTGGCAGGAGCAATGCGATGCCTCACATTAAAACCTATATGAGGGTTTCACCGGACTTCACACAACTAGCCTGGTTTCTTGTCACAAGGTTAGAATGATTAAGTAACTTGCTTGCTAAATTGAATTAATTTTAGGCCTGATTGACAGTCAGCATTTCAGATCAGATACAGCTACTCTAGTCACAACTGGATGAAGAACTGTGCCAAGCAGTGTTATTTTAGTGTTATTAATATACTGTTATAGTGTTACATATACTCTTACTATACTTGATAGTGTATATACTAATATAAGTATATATATTATATGCTATTAAGTGTTTATTTTTACATTTTCAGCTTTTATTTTACCTACATTTTTGTCTTTTTTAAAAAAAAAAATTTTTATACTACTGTTTAGGTTTAAATTATTTTAATTTCAGTTTTGGTTCAGTTTAAATTTTATTTCCAGTTTTAGTGATTCAAGTAAAACTTGTTAAAATTGTTGTCAAGCCAACATTTTAAAATTGTTTATGTATCAATCTTTTATTGTTTTTTTTTATTTCATTTTTATTTAACCAAGGTTATAACCTTGGTGCCATGTTTGTTGAATGCAACTTAAAATGTCTAGATATTGGAGGAAAATATAGGTTGTGCAATTACAATATTTAATATTGTACAATTAAATATTGAATACAATTAAATATTGTACAATGACAATATTTTGGCTTTGTTAAGCCATAATAATGGTTTCAAATACAGATTGCAATGCTGCTGTTACACAATGCACTTTTAAATTAATAGGCAATATAATCTTATCATCATGCTAAACCTGTTTTATTGAGATTTTATGTCTTTTTGTTATTTCACATCCAAGCTGCTTTAGCAATATTAGATAATTAAGTGTTTATCATATGTCAGTTCAGATCGCAATTTTGTCAGTCATCACCAAATTGCACATCGCTACAAAATAACGAGCAGTCTAGAAGGAAATACACAGTTTTTAACATAATTGCATCAACACTGAAATCAGTTTGTGGTTACTCGTAGGTTTTGTTGATGATGCATTCAGTATATATGATTGTGTTAGTCTTTTACAACAAACACCAAAACACATCTTTATTGCCTTGAATATGACATATTAATGATAAGCCGGATGAGATCAGCACCGTTTCTGCTCTTTTGTTCTTCAGAGAGCTGCTCATAGCTGCCAAAATAATGCTCTTGGCAGAAGGAGGCTTGTTTTTCTCTGATCCCTGGCAGATTTGTGTCTTCTGTGCTGCATTGATAATGTTCCACTCGAAGGAGCCCTTAGGCCCCATAAATGTATATTTACACAACATAAGCCTGATATGTTTGTTTATTGAAGATTATGCTGTTCTCTTTCATTGGCTGTTTCTTAGCTGCAAAATAAGCAACAGCGCTTTTACAGATAAAGCCCTTTCGTGCAGTTGGTCAATTGAAGTGGTAAAGATTTGTCATGGTAGTGAAGTGGACAAGTGGCAGGTGGGTTATAAAACGCAATGACGAAAGAACACTCTTCTCTTTGATTATCTTTCAGATTACATTTAGGAATAGCATGTTAAGTTCAGCAGTTGAAAGCTTGTATTTTGGCGATTTTGCCCTAGAAAACTAATCACTGAGGAGAGATTCTAGTTTTAAAAGCCTCTCTTTTACCAGCAGACAAAGATATATTCTTTATTCAAATCTTTTAACACATGATGTTCCTGTGGCGGTGGCATTGAAGCCCACATGATATTCATCTCAAGGCAGCATGAATGGCCACTGTTCCTGCGGCATTTCTCAAAGCAGTGGCTTTAATCGTGGTTGAAATGCACAGGGAGGAAGATCGAGAGCAGTGTCTCTAGGTCAGTCATGTCCGGCGATGAGTTATTCATAGATCTTTTTATGAAGATTAAAGCCTGCAGTGGATGCAAAGCCTTCAGGCATAGCCTGTCATTCTTAAACATCTAAGTCCAAAGCGCATTAATTATTCAGTAATTGCAGTCTGAAAAAAATCTCCTCGACAATATCCTTTAGCTTTGACAGGTTTAATGCTAACACTTCTAGTTTAGGTGACATTTACATGAATGTTTGACTTTGAAACATGAGTGAATCTTCATCTGCTGGTATCCTCCACAGTGCCAATTTATCAAAAGCTGCCTGGGGCGCCCTGGAGAAGAACAGCACTCAGATTATGGTTCGTTCCTATGAACTGGGAGTTCTCTACCTGCCTTCAGCCTTTGTGAGTATCGTGACTGTTCGAATACCTGTGCATTTCTGACCTTCTGCTAAAACCAGCTTCTGATTGTGGCTGGATTGTATCTAGTTAGGCCGCGTGTCCACCAAAGCATCTTTCCCGAGGCTAGCGTATTTTTTCAATTGTGTTCAATGGGAGCACTTCGTTTTTAAAATGCCAACGAGACACTGACCATCTATTTGTTAAAGAATGTTCAACTTTGATTAAAACGCAGCGCTCAGCACTTTTTAGTCATCTAACCAATCACAGTGGAAGAGGAGTGGGACTAATACCACGCCGACCAACTGTCACACTTTGCTTTTACTGTGACTGAACAACAATGGAGAAGTTAATATTGCTTGTCTCTGAGTATTCATGACTTCACCAGATGGAATTCCTGGACTATCACAATAACCTGTAGATATGGAGAGGAATTTCAAAAGTGTGATTTCCAAGCTTGGAAAGGTCATGAAAAATCATGGAATTTACTGTAGAAACCATATTTGTGAACTCTAACCAAAATGAGTGTTACCTATATTTTGTAGTCATGTTTCAAATATTTACTTCTGGTTGATGAGTCGAGCACTTTAGCCGTTTTCCAGCAGGGTGTTAGTTTAAAACATAAAATTAAGATCTCCAGTAAAACCCCAAGAGAAGGAGCTCAACAGAGACAAAAAATATACCTTTAGAGTCTCTGAGCGTACTTCTTAACTACTCTTAAGTGTGTAAATACTAAACATAATGTCTTGGAGTATATCTCTGGTTTCTCCATGTAGAGACAGAGCTTTTGTGTAGCGTTCACATACTCGCAGGGTAAGTTGTCCTTGTTGTCAGGGTAGGTCTTAGAATTGCTTCAAAAGTTGCTAAGCAACAGTTTGGTTCAGTTCTCTTGCCGTGGAAAAAAGGGGGGGAAAGCATGAGTTTGAAAGAGGATGGTAAAAGGTTGTGCTCTCTTATTCAGAAGGGATGTATTGTGTCTTTTTTGTGGCCTGAAGCCTCTTTGTTTTGGTTGCACACAGTTTTGTTTATGGCATGGTTAGTTCTTGCTAGAGGTCATTTTTTAATAAATCACAAGTTTTTTTAGGACATTATATTTGCATTCGGTACACATGTATGTTGACTATTGAAGTTATTTTTACATCTGTAGAGGTCATGCTCCATAATTTTCATGAGTCACGTTTTTTTGTTTGCCACAGTGTGGTGCTTTAATTAACGTTCTCTTGTTTAAGAAAGTGTGAAATCAGACTGTTCAAGATCACCAGAGTACAAAATACATTTTGTTTTTGCTCTTAACAAAACACCTTTGACAGCATGTTTTCAAGTTTTCAGTACAGCGTCACATTGTTTCAGTCATGCTGTGTTGCCATACACCAATCAGAACCAGTGGTTACTTGTGAGCCAAACTCACCCTTGTCCTCTTTACCACCAACAAAGCTATTCGACTTAAAAAAGCATGTTCCTGAAGAGAGACGCAGTTGATGAGTCATACTTTTTTAAATATAGGATTTCATAATTGTGTCAATTGTTCTGATTTAGTATTCATGTATATTGCTCATTACTAGCTCATCCAAGCAGTCAAGGCCATTACAGAAATTTAGAAAAAAATGAGTGTTCAGTATAACATGCAATAATATAGAGATGCACTAATTTGAAACTAAAAATTAAGGAATAATTCACCTTCAAAATTAAAATGTTGTCATCATTTATTCACCCTCATGTCATTCCAAACCTGTATGAGTTTCTTTCTTATGTTAAACATAAAAGAAGATATTTTGAAGAATGCTGGTAATCAAACAGTTGATGGTCCTCATTGACTATCATAGTATTTCTTTTCCTACTATGGAAGTCAACGGAGACCAACAACTTTTGGTTCTACAAAATTCTTCAAAATATCTTCTTTTGTGTTCAGTATAAGAAAGAAATTTACAGGTTTGTAACAACATGATTGTGAGTAAATTATGACAGAATTTTCATTTTGGGGTGAACTATTCCTTTAAATAGGTTCAAGCAGAAATTATGTTTTTCACTTTTCAGTCTCATTGTATATGGATTCATGGTGTTCTGTTTAGTGAATTCATTTTTGTTTTGTATTTGCTTTTACAAACTGTTGGATTAAATTATTATCTGTGGTAGACATCAACCCCTAAAATTCCTGGTTTACCACTTAAGCTCTGACCCAATTGGATATTTACTCTTTGGCATCCTCTTGAACCACCCAGTTGGCTAGCTACTTGTTTTAACTGCAACCAAAAGCAGCTGTGGCTAAACAACAGAACAGCTGAGTTCAATAGACATGAAGATGCTAGTGAAAAACATAAGAACAAGTGACGTTAGTAATGAGAAATGTGATGTTTTTGCTAGTGTTACAACAAATAAATATGCTTGAACTCTGTCAATATGTCTGTCTGCTGCTGATTGAGCAGAAATTCAGATTAATTGCTCAATTATTGACTCACCCTCATGTTACTCCAGACCACATTAACCTCAATGATGCCTCTGCTCAACCACTAAGACGCGTTTATTAGTTACAACAACACAATTTATCAGTATTACTTGTGACAGCTGAGATTTAGCTAGAAGTTTGAAGGTTATTAGGGAGGTTTTTTTTTTACTGTTAGTATTAATTAAATGTTTTCTCTTTTTTTTGGGATAGTGAATTGGTGGGTTTTTGTTAAATGTGAGCCAAAATCATCACAATTAAAAGAACCAAAGACTTAAACTACTTCAGTCTGTGTGCACTGAATTTATTTAATACACGAGTTTCACAATTTGAGTTGAATTACTGAAATAAATGAACTTTTCCACGACATTCTAATTTATTGAGGTGCACCTGTATATAGATGCTTCAAGATGCTTCAAGAAACCTACCTGCAAAGCTACAGTACTGTTAAAGATTTTAGGCACTTGAGTAAAAAGGCTGTAAACTGAGGATTCTGTCAAAAATCATGTCATAAATAGATTTCTTTAGCATCTAACTTCTATTAACTAAATTAAATCAACATTTTGGAGATGTTGCCACAGTTCTTCTGGATTTAGTCTGTCTCAGTTTGTTCTGTTTTTTCATGTCATTCCAGACAGACTGGAGGATGATGATGAGATCAGATCTCTGTGTGGAGCACTGGCTGTTGTTAGCCTCCTTGTGCAAACAAAAATCTCACTAGATTATTACAATTAATGACAAAATGAATGTTTGAAAATGTAAACTGATATTTCCTACTAACACACTACAGCAAAAGATAGAAATAACTGATAGAAATAGAAATAACTGATTTAAAACCATTTTTAGCTGGTGTTCTAATAATTTTGGCCACCACTATATAGTATATAGTATATAACGTGGATGACAGTGTTGGCGGTCTTGCATCAGGGTAAAGTGGCCTTTAGAAAGAGGGAGTTTAGAGGTTATTACATGTAATTAATCTCAGTGGTTAACAGTCCTAAATACTGGTTAGATTGCTTCCATTGTCCTCATTTGTAAGTTGCTTTTGATAAAAACATCTGCTAAATGATTAAATGTAATTGTAAATGTATGTAAAAAAGCTTTCTAAACTTTCCCAAATGCCTTCCATATTCAGAATTAACTGTTTCTAACTTTTTATATTGAGTTTCTAGGTCGCTTCCTGTTTTTTCTTCACAGATAGCAGGACAGTGTTTGTGTGTGCTTGCATCTGCTGCATCTCTCTGGGTTTTGTGAAAGCTTTAGCTGTCTGAGTCTGGGTGATATATTCCCCACTGCCCTTTAAATCTATCCAGCCCCCTCCATCATCAAGCCCACCACACAAATGAGAGTTTAGCTTCCCTCAGAACAGCCCTGCTCCCCTCTGGCTTTTTCCACAGAAAACAGGATGAATAAATACACGTTTTCAGAGCTAGACAAGCACTTTTGTCACGTGTTGTCTCCATCATGGCAGTCATGGCATATCTTAAAGGGTTAGTTCACCAAAAATGAAAATTAGGCTGTGTTTTACTCTTTACCCCAGAGCCATCCTAGGTGTATATGACTTTCTTCTTTCAGACGAATCCAGTCGGAGTTATATTAAAAATTGTCTTTGATCTTTCAAGCTGTTTAATGCCACTTAGTGGGTGTTGCATACATCAGTCCAAAAGAAGTTAAATAAAAAGCACCCATCCATTAAAAAAAGTGTCTCACGCGGCTCCGGGGGGTGAACAAAGGCCTCCTGTAGCGAATCGATGCATTTTTGTAAGAAAAATATCCATATTCAAAACGTAATAATCACTTTAATGTACTGCAACTGCACTGTAACACCCGCTGTTGCACTGCAACACCCGCTGAGTGGCATTAAACAGCTTGAAAGATCAAAGACAATTTTTTTATGTAACTCCGACTGGATTCGTCTGAAAGAAGAAAGTCATATACACCTAGGATGGCTCTGGGGTGAGTAAAACACAGCCTAATTTTCATTTTTGGATGAACTAACCCTTTAAGGTCTATTGATTTGAGGTTCAAATAAATGGGTCTTTCAATGAGTTTGAGCCTTTTTTTTTTTTTTTTTTTTTACATGTTCCCAGTCTTTTTTGAACAATGTGAATAATCCACTGGTATTTTTCATGAAAATACTGTTTTATTTTTTTTGTCATATATTTCAGAGTTGTTATTATTATTATTGTGCATATAATTATTTATTTGTGTGAAAACTTTTTGTAGGATGCTAGTTAATTCTTAACTAAATCTTTTGGAATTAGAGATGAGCAGGATAGTCAACTAGTCATCTGGCAATCAACTGGCCAATTAGTGATTATTTATTTAAAATAATAAATAATACTTTCTCTGCAGTAAAAAAATATTCTGAGATGCAGCCTCTCTTGCAGTGTTGCTGTTAATCTTTTTTTTGTGTGAACAGTGCAATAAGTGCACTATAATTTTGTGCAATAAGTAATTTATATTTTAGCTTATTTATATGTTGAATATAACTGGTTGATTTTGAACATAAACAGATTTGCACATCCCTACTGAGCATTAATACATGTGCTTTCTCTTTGTCTGTGTAGAATATGAGCACATTTCCTGTGGAGAAGAATGTGTTTCCGGCCTCCAGCTCATCCAAAGGCTTCCCAGTGCCTTTTGACCTCCCACCTCAGCATTATTCAAGCAAAGGTGAGACTGAACATTGCGTCATTCCCCAAAAGTATCTCGACTAAGATTCATTGTAGTTCCAACCTTCATTAAAATGTCAGAGATGCTCTTCTGAACTCTGAACAACCACACATATTTAAAATGACAGATTTACACTTCAATGAGGCATTTGCATCAAAGTTTAAAGGTTTGCTTTTAATGCGTAAAAAGTACACTGAATCATCGCTTGAGGAAAGGTTAACCTTTACTTTGAATTTCAGAGTTCAAATGATTGCTGAGGAAACACTCTGTAGATATTAATTGCACAATGCAAAAGCCTAAATGAAAGCTAGCAGTGCAGGCCAGTATCCAGGCTAAATAAATAAAATATTTTGATACTGTACGAGTGTCTTAATTTGCTCTCTTAATTATAGCAGCCTTTCGTATAATGAATAAGTGTGTTTCTTGAGTGTACATTACTGTATGTGATGAGCAAGGTGTTCAAAGACAGCTACTCGTGATGGCAAAGTGTGTATTGTAATTGCTAACAGCAGTGAAACACAAGGGGTGTGCATGACACAATTAATGGCCATTTCATTTCCTGCACAGTGGTGTGCTCTGAGCCATCCAATGAGATTAATAATGAGGAAACATGACATGTACTGCCACCCAAATTCTCTCATGTTCTCATTTAATAAAGCATTTATCAAAAAAATACAAATAAAAAACAAAAAATTAATTGATACTCATTAGTCTAGCTAGATAGCCATTATTCCAGTGTAAAGCGTCACATGATCCTCAAGTAATCATTCTAATATGCTGATTTATTATTAGAATTATCAAAGTTGGCAACAGTTGTGCTGCCAAATATTTTTTTGGGAAACTGCGATACTTTTTTCAGGATTCTTTGATGAATAAAAAACAGCATTTATTCAAAATATAAATCTTTTCTAACAATATAAATCTTTGCTATCACTTCTTAACAATTAACACATCCTTGCTGAATAAGTTTTAATTTCTTTAAAAAAAAAAAATAATAATAAGAAGAATTTGCTGACCCCAAACTGTTGAACTGTAGTGTATATTGTTAGAAAAGATTTCTATTTTAAATAAATGCTCATCTTTTTAACTTTTTATTCATCAAAGAATCCTGAAAAAAATATCACAAGTTCCAAAAAATATTAAGCAGCACAACAGTTTCCAGCACTGATAATAAACCAGCATATTAGAATGATTTCTGAAGGATCATGTGACAATGAAGACTGGAGTAATGATGCTGAAAATTCAGCTTTGCATCACAGGAATAAATTAGATTTTAATGTATATTAAAATAGAAAAACGTTATTTTACATCATAATAATATTTCACAATATTACATTTTTTCCTGTATTTTTGTTTAAATAAATGCAGCCTTAATGAGCATAAGAAACTCCTGTAAAAAAACATAAAAAATCGTTCTGATCCCAAACTTTTGACCGATAGTGTACATACATACTGATTTGTTTGATGTGTGTAAAAAGTTATCATTTATATTTATTATTTATTATTTAAAAAGATTTCTATTTCAAATAAATTAATGAATGTATGTATGTATGTATGTGTATGTATGTATGTATGCAAGAAGAAAAAGGATGCTACATGTCAGCTTCCTGTAAGCCAATATGTATAAACGAGAAGCCTGCCATTTTATGTAAATAAGTGTTTTGGTCATGAGTCAAGTATATGGCTGTTTAGTAAAACTCTGCATTGTTTTGACTGACAGCATAATTGCAGATGAACACAAACTATAGCCTGCAGGACTTGCTGATGACACTAAATTAACTCATTATCATCTGCTGGGTAATTACTGTGTTTTGTGGTTTTTGTGCAAATGCACAGATTCAGAGGCGGTAGGCTCACAGGGATATATCACCGTTTTTGCATTCAGCGCATGCTGTCAAAAGAAAAAGCTATTTCACATTAATTGGTGTGATAAATTGGTGTTAAAACATCGAAAATGTTAAGTAATTTTTTTAAAATAATATTTTTTTTAGGATTTATATTTATGAAATTGTTTTATGAAAGTCCAAATCCAGTTCTAGGGAAAGCACAGTACTGTATGTCATTTTATACTTATCTCCATTTTTTTTACCCAAACTCATAGGAAAGGGTGTAAGAAATGTCATTTCTTTGTTGGAAGTGCCCTGATATTTAACCATGACTTGCGGGGCACACTTGAAATGACAGGTTTTGAATTATTAGTCTTAGGTTCAGAAGTTTTGCAGAGAAAAATAAAGCACCTGATGTTGAAAATAGAGCATATTAGCCAGACTTTTTTTTTCCTTTTTTTGCTTTGTTTTGAGATTATTTGATTCTGTTTTGGGGTATCCATTATGTTGACATGCTACTGATAGCGTCAGAAATCACTAGTACTTATGTTAGTCTCTGTCAAAGACCGTTTGATTGTTCAGCCCTATAATTGTCATCAACGCCACATTCTTAGTAAATGAAAATAACAGCGCTATGGGCCCTGCCCCTGACACGTCAGTTTGACGACCTTTAATCATGGTGAGAAAATAGAGGCGGCAATCGATGGTACTATTGAAACCAAGGGTGTCATCAGTTTATGAACTGAGACAGAAGCACTCTGTGGTTGCCATAGCAGCGTAGGTCTTTTGATAATAGAGGCTTCAGCCATGAAGTGGGATGAGGGGGCGTGGCCTGCAGATCAGGAAAAAAATGGGCGGTCTTCTCAGAATGTTTAGTAAGCTGGGGCTTCTGTACTGATTATGATACATCAATGTGGTTTCAATGTGCTTTTAGCAGTAAATTATGTTTTAGCACTCTATCAGTGAATCTTTTTGTCTGTGTTTGGAATATTACATTATATGTGACCCTGGACCACAAAACTAGTCATAAGGGTCAGTTTTTTTAAATTGAGATTTATACATCATCTGAAAGCTGAATAACCTTTATATTAATAACCTTTCCATTGATGTATGGTTTGTTAAGATATGCCAATATTTAGCTGAGATACAACTATTTGAACATCTGGAATCTGAGGGTGCAAAAAAATCTAAATATTGAGGAAAATCACCTTTAAAGTTGTCCAAATTAAGTTCTTAGCAATGCATATTACTAATCAAAAATTTAGTTTTGATATATTTATGGTAGGAAATTTACAAAATATCTTCATGGAACACGATCTTTACTTAATATCCTAATGATTTTTGGCATAAAAGAAAAATCAATAATTTTGACCCATACAATGTATTGTTGGCTGTTGCTACAAATATACCTGTGTTACTTATGACCGGTTTTGTGGTCCAGGGTCACATATATTGTATTAGGATATATACTACCAATCAAAAGTTTGGGGTCAGTTCCTTTATTTTTTTTATTTTTTTTTTTAGAAATTAATACTTTTATTTAGCAAAGATGCATTAAATTGATCTAAAGTGACAGTAAAGACATTTATGATGTAACAAAAGATTTCTATTTTGAATAGTTGCTGTTCTTTTGAATTTACAATTCATCAATAATCCTAAAAAAATATTAAGCTGTAACTATTTTCAAGATTGATAATAATTATTGTTTCTTGAGCACCAAATCAGAATATTAAAATAATGATTTCTTAAAGAAATGCTTTTAAACATTTATTTTAAATTGAAAACAACTATCTTAAATTGTAATGATATTTGAACTTGTATGTTTTTGTATAGGGATTATTCTAAATGATGTATTGAAATTATACTGTTAATATTGCAATGAATATAGCCATTGTTGCTGATATGGCAGTAAAACATAAAGAAAGAAATAATATTGACAGTATTACTATTTTTACGGTATTTTTGATCAAATAAATGCAGCCTTGGTAAACATATAAGACTTCTTTCACATACATTTAAAAAAATCTTACCAACCCCAAATGTTTTAACTGTAGTGTATACTTTACACAGTATTTGCACAGACTTTTGATTTTAACATATTTTTACCTATATTTAATCAGACTGCCATGCATTTGTACACAAATTAGGTTAAAATGCAACTCCAAAATGATGACATACTGTTTGAGGAGTGTCTCTCAGCTTGGCCTGAATTGCATTCATGTCAGACTAAATTATTTGTATTATTATTTATTTATTTTTGAATTTATTTTTTGTAATAGACAATAAGTTAAGCTTATTTTAGTGTTCTGAAATGAGTGCAAGTGGTGGTCCACTCAAAGGGTCACGGCCAGGACAGACAGCACTCATTGAAAGCTCAGATGAAAGTTATTTCCACCAAGGCCTTTCGTAGTGTCTCGCCTCTGCTATCAGTGCGCAAATGCTTAATAGAGGCACTTCATTTCCTACACATGATTACTTATTCAATCAAATCAAATGCATCGTGTCACTGTCCTTGTTGATACTCATTCGTGTGATATTCAGTTTCCCACTGGATCTGTTCCAATGTCATTTGTTTACTGTACATGACTGTGTGTAACAATTAACTGCTATGGAGTCACACAAGCGTTTCTGCCTCTTCAAGCCACCCAAAGTTTTACTATTGTGCATCCTCCACTATACGGCAGACTACATAATACCCAGAAGGCCATTTAAGACCTATAATTAAAGCTTTTAGGAAACAGACAGATAACCCTGGGCTTTACAAAGCAAATGTGCAATTGCAAACTTCATTGCATGCACCATGGCAACAGCTCTTCCATACTTGACCTTCTTTACACAAAAGGAAATGCATGAAAATGTTGAGGTAAAGAGACTTTCTTTTTGCACTTGATTTCATTTTTGCATATAGCAAGTAATCTTGTCTCGAGTGTTATTTCTGTCAGATGCTCTGCTTGCCAGAGCACCAGCATGGGGTTGAATTAATAGTACTTTATAATTAATCATTTTGAATGTTCCAAACTAATCCGTTTAAAAAAAAAAAAACAAGAATCGAACGATTTGGAAAAACAGCTGTTTCTCATATACTGTAGGAAAACACTTTTGAGAACTTAATATGACGTTCAGGTCATACTTCACCCCAAAATAAAAAAAAGCGGTTATGTTTTTTTAAGAAAAATTATGCTTATTTTAGGACCATTAAGGTTTTTTGCACTGTGACATATTTATAATGCAATTTTCATAAGAATATTTTCACCCTAATACTCATTATTGCAATGCAAAAAAAAAGCGAATTCTCATTATTTCAATTCCAAAAAGAATTATTTAAATGTTTTATCTATATATGTATTATCTATATATTATCATAGTATAGTTGTATTGTTTTTTTCTGATTTGAATAAAAATATTATAAATCACTGTTGAAATAAAAAAAACTCAAAAGTAAAACCTTCTTATACATTAAATTATACAATCAATTATATCAAAGTATGATTTTTTTTGTTGTTGTTGTTGTTTTGTTGTTGTGGAATGTGACCCAGGTATGTTTTTAATGTAATTCTTTTGTCATTTTAAATGATGAGTAAATGTATTCATTGTAAGAGTATTATTTTATGTCTAAAAGGAGTTTTTAAAATATGACTTCTCTTATGGGGAGGCGATATGTTAGTGTTTATGGTTTCTTTAATAAGAGCGTCCGTCATGCTCACTCTCACAGTTCATTTCATCTGAACCCCTGCTGTCAACACCTGTGATATTAATACAGACCGAACCCAGTCACACACTCAAATGTACATCTCAAAGGGTACCTGCACCTCTATATTAAGACAAACGTAATACATTTCTATTTCTGACCTGACTGTTGCTGCTGCTTCTGCTCAGTGATGAGAAAAGGATAGTTTCATATCCCTCTAAAATCAGCTCAGAACTTCTCATCACTCTCTACTCTTCAAACGGGCTCAGTCTCGGCTCACGACTAAAAAGAGACCAGCTATTGTGAATTAGAATGGACCGCTGCTCAGTAGCTACTTGAGTCTAGTTCTTTAATTCAGTGAGGAGACCGTTGAGTGCTGCTTAAGATCCTCTCATGTGCAAACGCCATTAAAGTAATAGTTCACCCAAAAAACTAAATTCTGTCATTTATGTACCCAGATCGTTCAAGCTTCAATTTTCCATACAATGAAAGTGACCACAGCTGTGAAGTAAGTTTATAATAATTTTCATTTTAGGAGAACACTTCCTTCCCAAAAAAAATAAAGTTGTTCTTTATGAATGCTTTTTATAATGTGCAAGAAAAGATCAGGTCAGAAGTGTGTCATTCTTGTTTATAATTTTGGTAAATTGCACCCCTTCTGGCAAAAAGAAAAACCGTAGATGGTTATGATGATTAGTTTTGCTTCACTTCCTCTTCACGTATATTGCTGCAGTTCCAGGCAACAATTAAGCCTGGATGTGACTGTTTGTGTAGCCGTACTGCTGTGTTCCTACTATTAGATGAAAAAACTGTCATTATTGAAAGTTCTTGAAATTGTTGCACTAATTAAATAATTTTGTAGTTCTTGCAAAGGCAATCATTGTCATTGCTATTGCTCATACTCGGGCTTAGGGATCTGAACAAACCCCTAACTTCAAGTATTACATTTTAATGCATAATTCATCCCGCACCAATTGTTCATTTGGTTCAACTTGATATACTAAAAGTAAAACTGAAAAGAAAAATAAAATGATATAGACATTTTTAAAGAAACAACAAAATTGCTAAAACTTTATCTAAAATTAAAATGAGAACAACAGAAATTTAAAAACTAATTCAAAAGATCAACAACAACTATATAGTATCTCAATTATACTAAATAACACTGTATTACTTTTGAATAAATTTTTGTTTATTTTATTTTTGCATAATGCAATGCATTAAAGTACACCCAAGGCATCTATTTATTAAGGTTTGATATATTTACAGTAGGAAATTTACAAAATATCTTTATGGAACATTATCTTTACTTAATGTCCTAATGATTTTTGGCATAACAGAAAAATCAAATCATTTTGACCCATACAACGTATTTTTGGCTATTGCTGAAAAAATATACCCCAGCGACTTAAGACTGGTTTTGTGGTCCAGAGTCACATATATGTATAAATAAGACAAGCTTTTTGACGGTTGACTATGCCTCTGTATTTTACCCAGTTATCTGTGAGAATTCCTTTGAGATAATTGACTCGCTTATATTTTTCTGTAAGTTCTAAAGTGTAATGTTCTTATATCACAGATATTATATCTAAGCAGTTTAACAATCAACCATTTGACTCCTTCACCACATTGTTTTGTTTCATGCGCTTTTTAGAGGTATTTTAACTGCTGGGTTGTTTTGAGATTGAATCCAGTTGTGTCAGCTGGTTACCATGGATACTGCTGTTCTGCAGTCTTTTCTAGAAGTCTATATCCTATAATACATTATTAAGTAAACCGCACAGTTTGTGTACGATCCTTCATACTGATACAGTACACACACCAGTAGTTATGCCACAGGTGAGCATATATCTCAAGGCAGGTCAGCCTTCAGGGAAAGGTCAGAACCTTCTCTTCTGTCCATACTGGGAATCTTTGTTGGCCCAAGGCAAATACGTAATTCTGCATCATTTCAAAGCATCATGAACTCTGCCTGGAGCAGGTCAGACTCCGAGACTGTAAATCTCCAGGCTTTCCATTAATGTATGCAGTTGCATTTCAGTTCTGTTTTCTCCTCGTTGCAGAGCAACCGTGGATCTGGAATATTCCTTACACTCAAGCCCCAGACACTCATGGAAATGTATGGGTTCCTTCTTGAGAAGTTCGAGTTGCAGGGATCATCTGCATAAGACAGAATTAACTTGGAAATCAGACCATTGGCATTTGACTCCGCTTCGGGTCTGCTCGGGTTCACCCTTATGAGGATTTAGCCGCCGTAATGACACACTTTAAAGGAATAGTTCACCCAAACATGATAATTGTCATCATTTACTTACCTTCGTGTCATTCCAAACCTGTATGAGTTTCTTTCTTATGTTGAACATAAAAGAAGATATTTTGAAGAATGCTGGTAATCAAACAGTTGTTGGTTCCCATTGACTTTCTATGGAAGTCAGTGGGGACCAACAACTGTTTGGTTCTTCAAAATTCTTCCAAATATCTTCTTTTGTGTTCAACATAAGAAAGAAACTTATATAGGCTTGGAACTACATGAGCGTGAGTAAATGATGCCAACATTTTCATTTTTGGGTGAATGGTAGATGTACACCATAATAGTGTGCACCCTTAATGCTATATTTTAGTCCTGTTTTTTTCATAATAGAAACTGTAGATATGTTTAGTTATGCCTTAATTGTAAACATTTTGTAAAAAGACCAAATAAAATGCATTTTACAACTGGAAAACCATGGAACTAAATACATTTTTCAGTAGCAATGTCCTCCTACTTGTGGAAAAATTTGTTTATTTTGAAATCCAGTAATGTATGTTGAAAATAGCAATCAAATTATGTTTTTATTCAGCGAAACAACCATTGTCAGTGGCTTTGACCTAGTCATGTTTACTCCTTCATTCAAAAACCTCAGAAGCAGGTAACTGGTACATTTGTTTATGTAAAAAAATAATAATAAATTCACATCCATTTTGAGCCGGATTTGTCGTATAACCAATAGAGTTCAGATAAAAAGAGGACTAAATGAAATGGTGAAAACATCTCAAATTGGTCTTTTTTAAAAGTTTGATTATGGACATGTCCTCTGAAATGAATTCCGGGCGAGCTCCAAGGGCGGATTGATTTTTTCATTCCCGGCTACAGTGATGCAGTAATGTGTTTGAGGAGGACTCTGCTCCCCCAGCATCAGTGATATATTGAATGTGTTCAAAAAACAGAACAATTGGTGCTGTTTTCTATTTATCCTGAAATTGTCATGTTGCCTAGCAACATTGGAAAAGTTAACTCTACCTTGATACAGGAATTCCCTGTGGCCCCTTTTTTTTCCTTTAATGAACAAAATTTGATTCTGTGCATTACTTTAAGGTTCACTTAGACCTTTTCTCCAGCACGTCTGTACTTAAAAGTTACAGCATGTCTTGTGGAATTTTTATTGTACATTGTAATGAAAATGAAATATTCAATCTGAATTATGTATCTCTCTCTTGCACAGCTACAGTATGTGAGACATTTGTTGAAACTGCTTTAGACTTTAGATCAGATAAATGTTAGAGAGGTCTCCTCCATTCTGAAAAGTATTGATCTCGGATCATTAGAATAATTCCTAACAGAGCAGTCTGGCCAAAACCACGAGGATCATTATGTGTTTTCCATTCAAATGAGTGACTACTGTGTTAACGATTCCAATTAAAACCCATGCAATTACTAATAATTGTCCCCATGTTATTAAACTCATAGTTTTGTCTAGGTATGACATTTTTGCAGTTATTTCCAGAGTATATATATAGACATGACAAGACATGAAGGCATCATATGGAAAGCTGTATTAACATTTATTAAAACTAACAAGTATCTGCATTTATGTTGAGTTCTGATTAATGCATATTACAGTTGTCTCTGGCACATCCCTTTTTCTAGTGATGTTTAATTAGGTTCAAATATTTATTAGTCTAGCTTTGCTATATTACAACAGCCTCTTATATTACTTTATTATTATTATTACTTGTCATACTTATGGGCTAGTAAAAGTAATAACAGGAATACATGCTAATGTCTGATATTAGTGTATATTGATTTGGTACTTTTAATTTAAAACATATACACTGAAAAAAATTATACTCCATTTTTGTAAAGGTAAGTGGTTGCAATCAATTTATTTTAGTTACATTTAAATACATTTAGTTGACTAACGTTCAGCAAAATTTATTTAAATGTAGCTAAAATAAATTGATTGCAACCACTTACATAAAAAAAAATTTGTAAATTCAATGAATAATTTTTTTCAGTGTATATGCTATAAGTAGCTTTTTGAAAAGGTATAAATGTGAATACCCAGTAAATATTTAGTGATACAACTGGAATACACATCCGCAAAGAATCAAATTTGGCAAAATTAGCAATTTGTTACCAGTAACATCAAAATCTGTCACAGTTGGAATAAGAGTGACCAACATGTTCTCACTCCCAACTCGTCACATATTGACACTTGGTCAGGACCCCTTGGTGTCGCTTTTTGACGCTCAAGGTACCCCTTAAGCGTCATTTTTCGATGCACAGGGGTATCCTTTTAGTGTCACTTTTCGACGTGCAGAGTCCTCCGTTGTTTTCAGTTGTATGTCTTAATCTAATAGTTTACATGCATTTGTAAAAAAAAATATAAACTAATTTTATATAAATGTATACTTTCATTGGAGCACCTAACCCCACCCCTACACTAAACCTACCCACTTTTGAACAATATAAAATGGTCACGAGACACACAAGAGCCAATAGCATTTGGCTTCAGGTAAACAAGGAGATGGCGATCACATCTATTCCTCTCACAAATCAATTGTTTTGCCTCGCAAGACTTGGAATATTAATATTTTTTTGGAAATAATTATGACTGTAGCTGTATCTGCCTGTTATATCTTGTGCATCAAAAAGTGACGCCAAAGGGTCCTGACCAAGCGTCAATATGTGACGAGTTGGGAATGAGAATGTGAGTAATAGTGACTAATTGGAATAGTAGCAAATTAAAACCAAGCTAACAAAAACATGTTCTAAGATAGTTTTGCCAACGTTCCCATTAAGTTATAAAAATATTATTTCTCTCAATGTTCAAAATGTTTTTGTTTTTTTGTTGGAAAATTCCAGGAACATTACATTTCGTGGAATTTTGCAAACATTGCAAACATAAATTTTGCAAACATTAAATACGCCTTTGATATTATTTTCCTCTAAACCACTAGATGGCAGAAAAACTCGGCTTAGCACTTTACAAAACATCTGCTTTTCAAGATGCATGTGCAAATGTGGCTGATCCTTGACGTGATCGCAGGCAGCAGCACATATTTGATTCTGTGCTTGTTCTAATATTTTGTTTTTTAAAATGTTGTAGATTTAAGTAGAATATGAGAATTGCTAAAAATTATTTAACATATTTTGAGACAAAGGTCTTTCTTAATGATTTTCAGTTTTTTTTAAAGATAATTTAAGCAACAGTTTTTAAATAACGAAAGAATATGTAAATGTATGACATTTTGGGTAAAAAGTGCCCCTGCTGATGGGGCTAAAGGCACAATAATTAACATGATAATTAACAGAAGGCTGACTTTTCCATTTGTTGACATGAGATGGTTAGATTCAGATGGTAAATTGAATTCATTATTTTGGGTGTCCATCTTAGAGATAATCACCATGTTTAGCATGAAACCATTATATTTAAAAACATGATATTAATCATCTCATATAATAAAATATAATTTGTTGTTACTACTGTAAATCTACATTAAATTTTTATGGGATATCCTTCAGTGCTTTCAGAATCTTTACTTTTTTAAATGATTTTGATTCTGTATTTTGAAATATGTTTTATATTAACATATTTTAATGACAGTATATTTACTGAACAAAAAATGTTTTTTATTTATCAAAATAAGCAGAAAATAGTACACACTTTGCTAAAGTGATTGTTTTGAACAAGTACTAACTTAAGCCTGGCTCACACTGGGCAATTTTGGCCACGATCCGTCTGAGACAAATTTTGAAAATCCTAAAAGATTCCTATAATCCTAGGCTAAAATCACAGACAGCCGATTAATGGCTGTTGCGGTCAGATTTTACCTCCGACGTATTTCTGGCAGTGTCAGAAGATTTGGCACACTGTCCTGCAGAGTGACTTCTCCTACGACGAACGTCAAACTATCTTCGTTTTTCAAGACAAGCCATGACCAGAATTAATGCTAGAGACTTTCATAAACTCCAACACTCACGGAATTCATCTGATATGTTGCCTTTGCTATGATAAACACCGGTTGCGCCTACACACCCACATTGCGTTTTCATGTGGGTGTGTAGTGCTGCTTACTTAAATACGCTGGTATTTCCGCCGTTCATATACTTTAGATGATAGCCAACATTTCAGCCCCGCATGCAATGCAGCTCGTGGTCACTTAACGTGTGTGGGTTGATAATGTAAAACTACGGACAAGTTTTCTTGCACACGCCCGTTTTTAACACGCCTTGACTGTCGTACAGTCTGACATTAATAACAACTGAGATCCCACAGTGTGATATGATCATCATGTTCTTACAGTCTGACAAGTACAATCCTAAAGGACTTTTAAAAAATTGCACAGTGTGCGCCCGGCTTTAGACATTATTTTAAAAATAAATAGCCTATTTTAGCTAAAGTATTTGTATCAATACTGTGTGCATTTTACCCCATGCCACCTCATACATTTATACGATTTTTAAACAAAATATACGACATGTATGATTTATTTTCAAAGAAAATCTGTTGCTCCATAAATGTTCAATACAAATGCATATATTTTTTCTGCAATCATACACTTTGGGCACAATACTTTTATAATGTCCTCTGAAACAAGTAAACAACTAAAATGATTCTGGAAAAAAAGTTCCATTAATAATGTATAAATAATGTTTTTGTGCAAACGTTGTGAGAACATTATTAAAGACCAGAGAACTTTGAACAAACATTCCATTAGAATTAGTTTATTTATAACTTTTAGAGAACTTTGCCACAAACTTTACCTAAAGTTCTAAAAACGTTCCCTATTAGCTGGAAAATAGATACTAGTCGCTATTTAAGTTCTTATTAGTTGTAATACTATTAAAATAAGTACCAGCAACAAAGAAAGAAAAACTTTAGTTTTAGAGTGTAATTGTTCAAATGGCTTGCCATATGCGTCTGCTCCGAGAGTTTAGTGCAGTCGCAGGGAACGTGCGCTTCTTGTGAGTTTTGCCTACTGAACTTAAGGGCACATTGTGAATATATCCAGAGAGTTCTTGCGAGTTTAGTCTGTGTAAACTGGCGTT